CTTGTGAATTTTGAAGCTTTTACGTGTCGTAAAAAAGGCGGTTGCTAACAAGTTGCTCAATACGACTACAAACCCTGTCGGGGACATTAAACGTCATCACCCCCGAACAGGCGAGAGTGCTGGCAGTCCGCCATTACAGCTTCTTATTTAGCTTAAACAGTCCGATTTCCCCATTATACAATGTTTTCAAAATAAAGCGGCCGAAATCAGTTGAAAGCTTAGTGGCGGTGACGTCAAGAGTCATGCGACCGTGGAGTAGTCATGTAGTCCGTTAAAGCCTAACGTTAGCTTTTCACTTCTGGCGATCGCATTTAAGCTTCAAATGTGGTATGAAAGGTGTTCATATGTGAAGATTATCTCGCTGAACAAAACCTGTAAGTATCATAAACTTGTGTTAGCCACAGAGCTTATTTTCTGACATAATCCAAAACGCAATGCAAAAATCACATTCACTTTCTCTTCCGGGAACCAGCGCAACGCTAAACTTCTGGGTTTTGACATCACCTTTAATTAAAGTTTTAATGCAGGACTTTTACTTTTTACAGAGTATTCCTCCACAGCAGGATCACTACTTTAACTTAAGTACAAGGTCTGAGTTATTCTCCCAGCACTGTTCAGTATACAGTTAATAGGTTTAACGTAAATTAGTCTTCAGTTAAGGTTTTTTTTTCTCAGAGATTTAATGATAATTAGTTTTTATTCTGTTTAGCCTGCACCAAATGTTTATTATACAATTTGATTTCTTTTATAAGGAATGGAATTAAAATTATTTTCATTATTAATTGCAGATTATTTTCTGCTCGTATTTTTCAGCTCTGACGTTAAATGAAAAGTCAAAATAAACTATTTTCATTTTGTTATTTTTACTTCTACTACTTTTAACCCTGTAGTTTTCCGGATAATGTTCAGACCTGGCGCCCCGGCGGCCCTCGGACGGCCGGTCCTGCATCCTGGCACTTACCTTCATCCTGGTAACTCACAAGTCCCCGGACCAAAAACAGGAAGTAAGTAACCAAATCAAAAGTAAAATTCACTTTCTGTTCGGTAGTCGGAGGCGCGGGAGCGAACCGGGAGCTCCACGCAGGAAAAACCCGAGAACAAAGAGGCAGAACAGCGTCAAAGCGCACAGACGCCATAAGCTTCACCTTGTCCACTAAAACATGGCGCCGCACATTTTGCCTCTTTCATTTAGCTGCGGAGCTCCGAGGATGCTAACGGTTAGCATCAGCTAGCGGGGTGCTGTCTGTCTGTTTGTCCGTAAAGATGACATCACTGCATTACGGCTTCTGTGCATTTAAACTGTAATAATAATAAAATGGAGTCAACATCACGCAGAGTCGCGCATCATCTCTGCGCTAAATACCACTGTTATCGGCATCGTTCCAAATAGCGATACATGGGACCTTACACCAAACTCCATTTTAAAAAAGATCAATTCTACATCTTCTTGCTGATTACCGCACTATACACACACTGATGATTTTAATTTGAAGTAAAACCCTTTCACAGTGATCCAGCCTGCTTATCGGCGCACATACTGTTCAACAAGCACAACGCATTTTAACAAATGACAGCCAAAATCTCCTGGCTGTGCATATTTACAGCATTCTGTTAGACTGGAGAGCAGTGGAGGGCGGTAACGAGCAGTTTAAGATCAATATATAGATTTTGACTGAAATAACGTGCTTATTAATGTATCACATCTGACCCGAATTAACCAATCACAACTAATGATGAGTAAAATGCTATTAAAACTGATGTGGGAGATCAGTGTTTGTACTGAGACGCATTATGGTGTTAAGTTGGTACATTTTTAATGGAGTTTGGTGTGAATTTATGCAAGACAGTGAAAAAACGTATTTATTGTTTGGTATTCCTGTCATGACATTAAATAATGATCTTTAGTTAATACTTAATTACTGATAGGTGTCTCATGTTGCTGCTCTTCACTTGAACTCAAGTTAAAATACTTTTGTATGAGCAGGAAGACAGTTTTTATCAAATGATCTTTATTTTGTGTGCACAAGATGAAAAGAAATATTATTCTGCACCTTTCAGGACTTTATGGGCTCAGCAATACAATAAATAAATACATCTTGATAAATATTTCTTTCTAAAATGACACCAGAGTCAAAAACACTTAAATTAATACCTTAAAATTGAATAAATGTCCCAGTGTAAGAACTGTGTGACTGGTTAGTACAGCTAATTAATACAGTTCTTCTATAAGTTAACGTTTTTAATCTAATATTGAACAGAAGTACAGTCAGTGGCCACTTTATTAGGCACACCTGCACAATTTAATGCAATTAAATACAATATTTCTGCCATTTATTCTTTTACTAAGCGCAAACATTTTCTGATTTTATTTAATAAAATACAAATGATTTTTAGTTTCATCCCTGGACACTGAGTTAAAACCAGATTTTTCCATCATTTACATGACATGCTGTGTGTCAGGTGTGTCTAAATTCAGTCTTTGTCTTTAATCAGTTTTACTTTCCTCCGTCAGTGTTTAGAGCCGAACGTGCTTCACTTTCTGTTATTTATGACTCAAACAGCAGTCAGAGGATTTATTATTATTATTCATCAGCAGGTGAACGATGAGTTCAGGGGCAGCAGCAGAGGACGAGGACGGCGCAGCGTTAGAGACCGTCAAATCTGTCACACTCACTCAGGACACTGATGGACGCATCATCCTGCACTGTCCTCCCAACGGTGGGTCACACTCTGGTCTCAGCAACAGTGTCTGACATTTAGGTTCATTTATTAAACATGACAAAGAGTTATGAAGAGTCCATTATAAAATATATCTGCAACTATTTTGATCATGTATTTTTTTAAGTCATTTTTCAAGCAAACAAACTCCCAGCTTCTCAACAGGGTGAATTTTCTTCATGTGTGTTCATTTGTACTGTTGATCAGACAAAATCTTTTAAGATGTCACGTTCATATTTGTAGATTTCAGGGGGGGTGTAGAGGACGTGTCACCCTGCTGCAGCTCAGCAGTCAAAGCACTGCAAGTTTATTACCAAAATGCAAATAATCAACCTCACTAACAAATTACAAATTAACTTGCCCATAAATAAATAAAATAATACATGACATTGTAAAATAATAACAATATGTACAAATTAACTTTTCACCAAAAGCCAGTACTGATGTTTTTATAGCATTTCTTTGTTTGTTGTTGTTTATTCTGGTTTTGTTTTCAGGGAAACACAGAAATCTACACTATAAAAAATAACTTAACAGTTTTAAAGTCATTCAGTCCTTCATTTCACTTCCCACCTGTGAATGAGCAAAAATTCAGTAACACACATTTATGAAACAACCTTAAACAGAACCTCCTTTCACATAAAAACATCTTTAAAATAATAAGACTGTACTATATATGATTCATCATAATTCATCTCTAATATCTGTTTTACAGTGCTGTGAAAACATCGACAAATTTCTCCTTCAAACAGCTGATTTGTTTCTCACCAAAGCTACATTTTACAAGATTACACTGAACACATCATGAGAAGTTTATAATTTACCTTCACCCAGTGCTCATTCTTACTGAATAGAGCCTGAATGCTTCACAATGTAAATCAATGAAACCCTTCCTGAGCTGTTCATTGTGCTTAGCGGTAAAGTTAACTAGCTGCTAACTGCTACGAACTAAGCAGCTTACAGCTAACTGCTAATAGCTAGCAGCTAACTGCTAACAACTTACTGCTAACAGCTAACAAATTACAGCTAACTGCTATCAACCAACTGCTAACAGCTAACTGCTAACAGCTATCAACTAACTGCTAACAACTTGCAGCTAACTGCTAACCAGACGTCGCGCTAGACTTTTTGTCGCCGGTCATTTTGACCGACAGGGTCATAAAAATCCGGTCATAATCTATTTTTACCGGTCATTTTAATTTTAGTTTTTAAATGATAATAAAGATATTAAAAGACATTTAGTTTTCATTCATTCGTTTTTAATAAATCCAACAAGCAAGTTATAAAGTGTGCATTAATAAGGACATGAACGAAAAGATGAACAGACATCCACACACCCGTGCCATTAGGCTTCGCCCTGGACACACCGGACGACACTAACGCGTCCGGTGTGTCCAGGGCGTTATGTAGTTATGCCTTTAAGCTCAGTGACACAAAATTAAAATTGTAATGAAGTGATTATGGTTTTGAAAAATGTGTTCGGTTATGCACTGTTGTGTTATTTTAAATTATAAACACAGTATTTTCTCCTCACGTTCCTCAGTGAGTGCTGTTGTTATTTTATTTTGAAAATTGGCCGGATTCTCTCGTCTTTTCTGTGTCCGATTTCCTGTTTGGTACGATCAGCTCTATCCAGCTTGACAGAGGCGCTCGCGGCTCCCATGAAAAATAGACCAGACGCCGAACTGAAGCGCTGCCTCCGCGGGCGCTCCGCTCTGCTCAGCGGCCTGTGTGGACAGTCAGATAGGTTAACATGGGCGCTGACTGAAAACTGCCTCCGCTGCTGGACACCGTGCTTCGGTTCCACGTCCGGTGTTTCCAGGGCGTTATGTCAACAACGCTACATGAAGCAGATGAATGACCTTTTCTCTGCAGTGTGAAAACGGCAGCCCATTAAACCACTGACTGTGCACTCCGCCGCCAGGGTGGTGGGCAGGGGTGGTAATTGCAACCGGTCAAAATGACCGACAGCCTTCAGATTTTCCGGTCATTGTTGTAAAAAAACAGTCAATGACCGAGAATATCTGGTTAACGCGACCCCTGCTGCTAACTGCTAACAACTAACTGCTAACAACATACAGCTAACTGCTAACAACTAACTGCTAACAACTTACAGCTAACTGCTAATAACTAACTGCTAACAACTAACAGCTAAATAAATCTTCGGCCTCGGTTACATTAGATTTAAAAAAAGTGATTGTGCAAAACATTTTTTTTTTTAAACTATTATCAATCGGAAAAAAGTAATCATCAGATGAATCGATAATGAAAATAAACATTTTAGTTTTGTGTAAAAATGCTGATGTATGTGTTGTGTCGTCCTCTGATTGTAACCATGGTGATGTTAATTGTTTGTGTAGATGATGCAGACGAGGAGGCGGAGCCTCTCCAGAAGAAACTGCGTCTGTCTGCAGAGGAACAGGAAGACACAGACGGTCCTCAGTTCTCTGTCGTCACGTTACCCAGTGAGATCACACTTTATATTTACATCACTAACATGACGTCAACGGTGTCGTCACCAAACTCAGTTTAACCCTCAGACGTCCCTCTGGAGAACAGACGACCGGTCAAAACCAAAATCCATAAATCTTGTTTCTGTATAAACTAATGAGACATTGGTTTTTACCTCGTAGTCATGGTAACGTTTCCTGTCTCTCATTGTCGTCCTCAGTGTCGGAGAACGACGAAGGCTTCGAGGTGACGATGACGGCCACAGCAGACGGTGATCTGTCTGAGGAAGGTGTCGCTCAGATTCAGGTGCAGATGCAACTCCTACTTTCTTCTTCCTCGGCATCCGCCTCCTCCTTCTTCTTCTTCTTCTTCTTCTTCTGTACCCTAAACGAATCAGAAATTAAAACCTTAAATAGCTGGAATCAGATTTTTTTATGCCTCCACACCACGACAGCCGTGGGTTGTCCATCCGTACGTAAGGGCATCCCATTTTTGTGAGCACAATATCTCAAGAACACTTTGAGGGAATGTCTTCAAATTTGACACAAACGTCCATTTGGACTCAACGATGAACTGATTAGATTTTGGTGGTCAAGGTCACTGTGACCTTGTGTGTCTCATTCTCATTAACACGATATCTCAGGCACAGCTTAAGGGAATTTCTTCAGATTTGGCACAAACGTCCACTTGGACTGAAAAATAAACTGATTACAATTTGGTGGTCAAAGGTCTGTGTGACCTCACAAAACATGTTTTTGGCCATAACTGAAGAATTCATTCACTAATTCTGACCAAACTTGACACAAATGTCTAGCAGGATAAAATGATGAAGGTCAAAAGGTCAAAGGTCAGCTTGACTGTGACATCATCATGTTTTAACGTCATATCTCAGGAACAGAAGGGGAGACATTTGGTCAGACACTGAATTGGTGACCTCAACAGTCCTGATATTTTTGCCAAACTCTTGGTTGTGGTCTGAGAAATCCCGTCCGTGTGTGTGTGTGTGTGTGTGTGTGTGTGTGTGTGTAGATTCTGCAGGAGGATGAAGACACTCTCTCGCCCAATCAGAAGACAGAGGTGTCGCCTGTCAGTCAGGCCTGGTTCACTACCAAAGAAGACAAAGACACACTGGCTAACAAAGGTACACACACACCTGCAACAGTCATGTTAGTGTGTATAGAGGCAGCATGTTGTCACATCTAACTGAGTGAATAAGAGTTCATTTCAACCAAACCAGAGCTGGTGATTGTTGGAACAGTTATTTCCTCCTCCTCAGGTCACAAGTGGAAACAGGGCATGTGGTCTAAAGAGGAGATCGACATTCTGATGAGCAACATCGACCGATACGTGAAGGTACGTCACTTCCTGTCGTTATTTCTGTCTGGTACATGTTACACACACTTTATGTGACGGCCTGTGTGTGTGTGTGTGTGTGTGTGTGTGTGTTTCAGGGCCGAGGCATCGAGGATCCAGCAGAGATCATTTTTGAGATGTCCAAAGAGGAGAGGAAGGATTTCTACCGCTCTGTGGCGTTGGGGTTAAACAGGCCGCTGTTCGCCGTCTACAGACGAGTTCTACGAATGTACGACAACCGCAACCACGTCGGGAAGTGAGTTCACGAGGAAGAGACGTCAGAAAACATGTTGGAACTTTATTATGTTTGAATAATAATTTCTTTCTTTAATGTCCCCAAGGTACACTCCTGATGAGATAGAGAAGCTAAAAGCGTGAGTATAAACCTCTGTGTATGTGTCTTTTATTTCAATAAAGTTTTTTTAAAATATACACAACATACATTTTCTATATAAAGTTTATATCTGGTGTGTGTGTGTGTGTGTGTGTGTTCAGGCTGAGGGAGAAACACGGGAACGACTGGGCTACAATCGGAGCCGCTCTCGGTCGAAGCGCCTCTTCTGTCAAAGACCGCTGCCGACTGATGAAGGACACCTGTAACACAGGTACAGAGCAGAGTGTACTCAAGTACACACTCGATGTACTTGTGGTAATAGTACTTTTACTGCACTAAAGTATCTGATTACTTCCTCCACTGATGTTTGGTTTGTTTGTAACTTTAAGTCTAACTTTTATTTTTCATATAAAATGTTTGTAACTTTGTTTAAACCAGGTAAATGGAGCGAGGAGGAGGAGAGACGTCTTGCTGAGGTCGTGTACGAGATGGCAGGTGTATCGCCGGGGTCGGCGGTCACAGGAGGCGTTTCCTGGGCGACGGTTGCTGATCAGGTTCGAACGCGCTCTGAGAAACAGTGTCGGTCGAAGTGGTTGAACTACCTGAACTGGAAACACAGCGGAGGAACAGAGTGGATGAAGGAGGACGACCTCAACCTCATACGCAGGTACGGAGCCATTTTCTGCTTCTTTATACGTATCCTTCACCTCACAGGTAAATATGTATTTTTTACTGCTCCACATCTGACCTGTACTGTACTGAGCAGTTATCTGATGTGTTCCAGGATCTCAGAGCTGGAGGTGGAGGATGAGAATGAAATCAGGTGGGAGGATCTGGCGGGCGGGTGGAGCAGCGTCCGGTCGCCTCAGTGGCTGCGATCGAAGTGGTGGAGCATCAAGAGACAAGTAGCGAATCACAAGGACATCCCCTTCAATGGTACACACACATGCGCCATTGTTTTTAACTGTAAAGCTGTTAATCTGTCTGTAGCTCTGGTTGAGGGTGAGAGGCTGTCAGCAGATAAACAGAGATCTGTGTGGGTACATGAGACCCTAAAAAAGAGGCTGGATCATGGGGAGTACCACCAGTTGGTCCAGGAGCTTCTCCTCCATCATGGACGTTTACAGCCAGTTTGACAACCTGCTGTCTATCATCAGGCCGTATAGCTCTGGGTATCCAGCAACCACTACCACCAGTTTCTCCTCCATTGTTTACCAACTGTAAACTAGTTGTCATGACCACCACAGAGGGCCCGCCTCTCAGATCATCCCATTGGACAATGAGAAAAAAGATGAGATGATATGGGGCGCTTTACTGCTCTGAGTTAAGATTTTTCAACTTGAGGAGTTCAGAGCGCTCCGGCAAAAACGCCAGGTGCCAAGAATGCAGAAACAAAAACAGTGAGCAAAAAGCATCATTCTCACTAAAAACTGTTACTAAAAGTCGCCTCCATCTCCTAAAACGCTTTCTCTGTGATCGGGGCCTAAATCTCCAGGTGTGCTCATTTGACACCTGAAGACGACACAGTGTAGTCCCCCAGTCCAGTTGCAGAACTATTTGTGTTGCTGGAGCCAAATATATGTATATATATATATATATATATATATACATATATTTTTATGATCATTATTATTATTATTGACACTCTGACCTGTGTGTATTTGTGTCCTCAGTCCTCCTGAAGGGTCTCCAGGAGCTCATGGCGTCCTCACAGACGGCCTCCGGACCGGGGAGTCCCTGCTCCTCCTCCTCGTCCTCGCTCCAGATCCGACTCACCCGATTGGAGGAGAGCGGCGGCAGCCCCGCCCCCAGCTCTGTGGCTGCGCTGCAGATTCCTGTACAGATCCCGCTGCAGATCACACACCTGGGTGAGTCTGAGTGTATCACTGTGTAGATTTTAGGAGTGTCACGATACCAAAAATTTAGTGTTTGATACCAGTACCAGTGAAAATAAGATGTTCCATTTGGTCTTTGCATTAGCTTATTTGTCCCACCCCTCCTCAACTGTGATTGGACGGCTGAGTAAAAAGGGACAATGATGAGTGCAGCTTATTATCTGAAGTTGAACATCTTTCTATTCTCAGCAACCAGGGGGAAAAAAAGCGCTAAATGTGAAGCACTCGGCGCAGAATAGGCGTTCAGCTTCGTCACACAGCTGGTGTTTGTAATAGAGTGTAAATATGCAAAGAATTAACGGAATATACGAACTCAGGAAAAAACGCTTTTCTTTTTTATGAGGCGAGGCGGAGCTATCTCTGTATCTGTGCTTGTCGCCATTTTCCATGCGTTGTTCTTGTTCCTCCATGCTGGAAGGCCTTCTACTTCTTACTTTGGTGTTCAAGAGCAGACTAGAACACTCTGAGTGTTTATGGTGGCCTGTCAGGGACCTACGATACCTGTGGTATCAAAGAAAAACCATCATGTCTTCAGAGTTTTGGCATCAAACTTGTACTCAAGTATCAACTCTTGTGACCTCCTCAGTAGATTTAATGATAAAATGTCATTCTACGCTGATGATACAGGCTTTTATACCAACAACTCCAGCTGTGTTTGACTCACTGACCTTTGACCTCTCTGTCCCGTACGTCACTGATTCTTGTCTCTGTCTGTTTCTCCTGAAGCTTCAGATTCTTCAGCAGCAGCCAGCGACAGTGAAACCATCACTCTGAACACAGGAGCCCTGCAAACCTTCGAGATCCTGCCTGTAAGCACAACACAGGACGTCTTCATGTCCAGTACAGTTAAAGTGTTAACGTACTGACCGTGTGTTGCTCAGACCAACACACTGCTCAGTGCACCAGGAAAATATTTAGTTTGTCAAATGCAGTTTGCCAAAAAAACAGGATGTTCTACTGCAACTGGTCGCATTTTGTATGTAAACAGCACGCTGTTCTGGCTATTCTGACCCACAATCCTTTGCACAGCAGAAAATACGTACATCGACTGATGATAAATGATGTTCGAGGCAGTAATTGTAGTTTATTTTCTATCAGCACTGCAGCAGTCCTTGCAAAGTATGTACTGTTGCAGTAAACATACGATCAGGACGTCCTACTTCATCATGACATCGCATCCTGAACTGTAATGAACCTTACCTGTTTCTCCTCTCAGTCGTTCCACCTGCAGCCCACCGGCACCCCGGGGACCTACTACCTCCAGACGACATCCAATCAGGGCCTGCCCCTCAGCCTCTCCACCAGTCAGGGCCTCCCGCTCAGTTTAACCAATAACAGCACTGTTACCCTGACGACAGGCTCCTCCCCCTCATCACATGAACACATCATCCTCCACAGTCTGTCGGTCAGTGTTTGATCACGTGTGTTTTCACTCCTGATCTGCTTCTGCTGCACACTTCATCCTCTGTGTGTGTGTGTGTGTGTGTGTGTGTGTGTGTTACCTCCTCAGACGGACGGCCTCTGCTCCAGCGACGGCGTCATCATCCAGACTGTCACCTCTGACCCCGCCTCCTCTGACCCTCTCAGCCAGTCACAGCTGGTCGTGGAGACAGAGGGGCGGGGCCAGGACGAACGCCTCGATGCCACGAGTCTCCTGGAGGGGTCAGAGAGCGTCGTCACGGAAACTCAGGAGCCAATGACAGATGGCTTCACCGACACTGACAAGGTTTTTTTTTTTTTTTTTCAAACTTTGTCAAACAGTCTGGTGGGTTTGGTGACAGTGATTTCTGGTTATACACAAAGGCTCTTAGTCTTTAACAAAAGAATGTATGTAGATAGGGTGGAGAAAATAATAAAAACCTTTCCATATGATGCACCCCGGTACAACACCATCGCCCACTACGACCTCAGCAATAAACATAAAGTAGAATTATCACTGATCGTCTGACAGCGTCAACAAAAACTGAAAAATGTATGAGCTTTGAAAGAGTAGAAATCATGTCCTGAAATGCTTTATATTGCACAGGTGTACCTAATAAAATGGACACTGAGTGTATAATGATAAAAAAAACTGTGTGTGTCAGGAGCTGAACTCACCGTCTGTTGAGGCTCCAGTGGTGCATTCTGGGATACCATCTGGCAGCGCCGTGCTGATTGTTTCTCCACCCAACATCAGCAGCACACTGACAGGTAACACACACACACACACACACGGCTATAATCAATGTTACATATAATTATTGATATGTAGCACTACTAAATTAATTCTCAACATTAGTCAGAGTTCTGCTGAGTGAAGTCACAGCTCAAATCTATTGAGTTTTACGACTAATTTGTTTACGTCCTCAGATCCGATCCTTGAGAACCAGGAAGGCTCCGACTGAGCAGGACGTTCGTCATGACAGATGAAGATTCAAGGATGGACGACAGGAGACGAATTTGCGAATCCTAGGATAAGATTGATATTCTTACCCTCACCTTAACCAATCCAACCAATGAAGGCAACAAGCACTAACCAGTCATAGGGAGAGTAGGGCAAGTTATTTCTTCACGTCCTAGGATTTGTAAATTTCCTCTTCTGTGGTGTTAAAGCTGCTGCACAATAAAGACAGAACTTGTTTGCAGTTTTTAAAACCAGGATGTGAACATTTAAAAACAGATGGTTGTAAATTAAACCAAACTTTTTAAACTGAATGAATTTGAAGCTTCATATTGAACCCCTGGATGAAATGTTGAACCCCTGGATGAAATGTTGAACCCCTGGATGAAATGTTGAACCTCTGGATGAAATGTTGAACCCCTGGATGAAATGTTGAACCCCTGGATGAAATGTTGAACCTCTGGATGAAATGCTGAACCCCTGGATGAAATGTCTGAACCCCTGGATATAATGTTGAACCCCTGGATGAAATGTATGAACCCCTGGATGAAATGTTGAACCCCTGGATGAAATGTTGAACCTCTGGATGAAATGTTGAACCCCTGGATGAAATGTTGAACCCCTGGATGAAATGTTGAACCTCTGGATGAAATGCTGAACCCCTGGATGAAATGTCTGAACCCCTGGATATAATGTTGAACCCCTGGATGAAATGTATGAACCCCTGGATGAAATGTTGAACCCCTGGATGAAATGTTGAACCTCTGGATGAAATGTTGAACCCCTGGATGAAATGTTTAACCCCTGGATGAAATGTTGAACCTCTGGATGAAATGTTGAACCCCTGGATGAAATGTTTGAACCCCTGGATGAAATGTTGAACCCCTGGATGAAATGTTGAACCTCTGGATGAAATGTTGAACCCCTGGATGAAATGTTTGAACCCCTGGATGAAATGTTGAACCCCTGGATGAAATGTTGAACCTCTGGATGAAATGTTGAACCCCTGGATGAAATGTTTGAACCCCTGGATGAAATGTTGAACCCCTGGATGAAATGTTGAACCTCTGGATGAAATGTTGAACCCCTGGATGAAATGTTTGAACCCCTGGATGAAATGTTGAACCCCTGGATGAAATGTTGAACCTCTGGATGAAATGTTGAACCCCTGGATGAAATGTTTGAACCCCTGGATGAAATGTTGAACCCCTGGATGAAATGTTGAACCTCTGGATGAAATGTTGAACCCCTGGATGAAATGTTTGAACCCCTGGATGAAATGTTGAACCCCTGGATGAAATGTTGAACCTCTGGATGAAATGTTGAACCCCTGGATGAAATGTTTGAACCCCTGGATGAAATGTTGAACCCCTGGATGAAATGTTGAACCTCTGGATGAAATGTTGAACCCCTGGATGAAATGTTTGAACCCCTGGATGAAATGTTGAACCCCTGGATGAAATGTTGAACCTCTGGATGAAATGTTGAACCCCTGGATGAAATGTTTGAACCCCTGGATGAAATGTTGAACCTCTGGATGAAATGTTGAACCCCTGGATGAAATGTATGAACCCCTGGATGAAATGTTGAACCCCTGGATGAAATGTTGAACCCCTGGATGAAATGTTGAACCCCTGGATGAAATGTTGAACCTCTGGATGAAATGTTGAACCCCTGGATGAAATGTTTGAACCCCTGGATGAAATGGCTGAACCCCTGGATGAAATGTTGAACCCCTGGATGAAATGTATGAACCCCTGGATGAAATGTTGAACCCCTGGATGAAATGTTGAACCCCTGGATGAAATGTATGAACCTCTGGATGAAATGTCTGAACCCCTGGATGAAATGTGAACGCAGAGCTGGAGGAGCCAGACCAGCAGCAACAAACAGCAGCAGCAACAAACAGACTCTAAAGACTGTGATGGACGTTACTCTGTGAACTGACCCTTTAAAAAAACACATGTTCATATATAATAAAATAAACATGATGAGGCTAATTTAACGATTCCTTTTTACATTGTTTTTCACTTTCATTTAAATGATGAGGAGGTCGTGTGGGGGAACAGAACCTTCACAAAACGCGTATGCAACAGTAATAATATACCAAGACAACACCTTTGCTTTTAGTTCAATTATAATTTTAGTAGTAAAGAATAAAAAGAATTCGATTTCGGCAGAGAAATATAAACCCTGAAAATGTGACGGCATGAACAGTTGTTTCAAACATGGGTTTTAAAGAAGCTTTAATAGTAAATGCACAGGTTCATAAGGAAAGAGAAAAAGTTAACTAAAAGACGGACATCTAATACCTGAATAACTACTTTTAAAGACAGATTTGTGTCTGTAGTAATCTTTTTTTTTTCCTCCGTGATGCTGAGACTTTATGAGACGTAATGGGACATTTGAGATTAAGTAATTAAAAAGAATACTTAGAGTACACCATGAAAAGTTCATATTAATAGATGACACCTCTTTAAACCTGTGAGTTCACATGATCTCAACATGAACCTGCTGTTTTTCTGTTAAATGTGCATTCCTCCATCTTATTAATCATTTGATTGGCTCCTCTGATAAACTTTATTAATGGGCAACACTACCTTCTGTTGAATCTGCTGCTGTTTAAAAGTGTAGTTCTCCATTATGAACACAGGGAGGCAGTGTTGTCACATTTATCTCTCTACTGTGTATCGTTAACTTGCTGATTATCAGATTTTAAATGTGTTATTGTGAAGATTTCCTGAAGTAAAAACTGATGTTGAGCTATTAAATTTAAACACACAGTTACTGTAAATATCAGCAGCTCACACCAGTTCTCTGATACACAATAAAGTCAAAATAAAAACAGAAATAAATGTAACATACTCACCAACAGTTGGAGGGAGTGTAGGTGATATATCTTCACAGGCGTGTCCACATCAGGAGGAACGTCTGTAGAAACAAACTAACTCAGAGTTAGTTTATTACTTTATATAATTCCCATCAGAAACACAGCTCTGTTTAGTTTTCGACTTTTCTCCTCATAAGTGAACTCCACAGAGCTCGAAGCAGCTCCAAGTGATGCAGATCAGACACAATAAACAGATCAGCTCATTGTGATTCAAAACAACATGCAACAAATATGCATTAATAATATATGGTAACCAATTACTGTAGTCAGCGAATGAGACTGCAGTGTTTTGGTGAATGTGTCCGCGCTCTAATGTGCGAGCAGATCTCCTCTGAATGATAAACAGGAAGTCAGACTGTGGATGCTGCGTGTCCTCGCCTCAGGCTGCCTGAGGTGGATCACTGTGTTTGTCAGGTAAACACAGGATTCTGCTGTCAAACATCCACACAGGACTTCTTCTAATGCACAGAGAGTAAAACTGAAATCTGATGAATCCACTGGAGCCGCTCGGAGCATCCACACAGCTGTCACTCACAAACACTCACTGCTAATCTGATGACTTTGTGCAGATTTTGAGAACAGAAATTCACTTCCAGCCAGATAATATAATCAGTATGGAGATCATAATAAGTTTCCCTGCTGTGTTACAGAAGTTTAGTGAGGCTGCTTTATTTTAAATTTGAGAAAACATGAAATTGTTGCAGCTCTGACAAGATCTTAAATTAAGGTCTGGAGGTTTCAAAGGAAACTGATGTAATCTATATTAAAAAATAATGAACACAAGCTAAAACTAGAACTACCTTGCCGTTGTGTGTCGTAGCAAACCAGTCAAGTTTCTGTTCACATCCATGTTTGTCCAGACTCACATGTCGCCATGACAACTGACAGTACCTCAAATATGGACATTGCTGCAAAGAAGCAACAAATTGTAAAACATGGATGCTTCACACACAGAAGATCTATACAATCAGCACAGTTTCAAGATTAGAGTCACCAATTCAGTATCTGACCAAATGTCTCCCCTTCTGTTCCTGAGATATGACGTTAAAACATGATGATGTCACAGTCAAGCTGACCTTTGAGCTTTTGATCTTCAATATTTTATCCTGTTAGACATTTGTCTCAAGTTTTGTCAGAATTAGTGTATGAATTATTCAGTTATGGACAAAAACATGTTTTGTGAGGTCATAGTGACCTTTGACCACCAAATTCTAATCAGTTTATTTTTCAGTCCAAGTGGACGTTTGTGTTAAATTTAAAGAAATTCCCTTGAGGTGTTCTTGAGCTACTGCATTCACAATGATGAGATGGGCGAGGTCACAGTAGCCTTGACCTTTGACCACCAAATTCTATTCAGTTAATCCTTAAGTACAAGTGGACATTTGTGCCAGATTTGAGGAAATCCCTCAAAGCCTTCTTGAGATATCGTGTTTATAAGAATGAGACAGACTGGGTCACAGTGATCTTTGACCATCAAATTGTAATCAGGTCATTGTTGAGTCCAAGTGGATGTTTGTGCCAAATTTGAGAGAGGCCTTCTTGAGATATCACGTATATGAGAAAGACACAGGCACAAGGTTACAGTGGCCATGACCTTTGAACACCAAAATCTAATCAGTTAATCAGTACAGGTGGACGTTTATGCCAAAATTTGAGGAAATTCCCACAAAGCCTTCTTAAGATATTGTGTTAACAAGAACAAGACAGACTAGGTCACAGTGACCTTAACCTTTGAACACCAAATTGTACATCAGGTCATTGTTGAGTCCAAGTGGATGTTTGTGTAAAATTTAAAAATTCCCTCAAGGCGTTCTTGAGATATCAACTTCACAAGAATGAGATGGGTGTGAGGTCACAGTGGCCTTGACCTTATCATCAAAATCTAATCAGTTCATTCTTAAGTGGACATTTGTGCCACATTTGAAAATTTCCCTCAAGGTATTCTTAACATATTGCGTTTACAGCAGTGAGACAGACTAGGTTACAGTGACCTTTGAGCAACAAATTGTAATCAGGTCATTGTTGAGTCCAAGTGGATGTTTGTGCCAAAGTTAAAAATTCACTTAAGGTGTTCTTGAGATATTGTCTTCAAAAGAATGGTACATATGTATAGAGGGCTGTATGGACAGAGGGACAACCTGAAAACATTATACCTGTGGTCATGGCGGTTGCTGGTGCGGAGGAACAATAAAACTAATTTTTTGAGCAACAATAATCCACAGAACAATGAGAGACACCACAAAACAACAGAACGACACATTCCATTTGTATAAACATCTTTTATTGGATAGTTTGACTTCCTAGATCTGGATTTTCTGCCCACTTCTCCACTTCTTCAGAAGAGTCACCGATTTGGGCTCCAGACCAGTAAAGACCAGTTGGTTCCTGGTTACTGGTAGTGCTGTTTCTGTCTGTCTCAAAAGTCCAGTCCATCCAAAACCATTTGTCTCCTACAACGATGTTACAAGAATAAACAATGGGAAAGTTGTATTTGATACACAAACTGTTATACAATGGTATAAACACATTTAACGCTCGTGATGTCGGTAAAAACATCAGTACCAGTGGGCCCAGTTTCTGTTGAACATTGAAAACCTCTCAAAACATGTCGACTGTGCCTCGTAAAACAATATTTTTCAAATACGATTCAGTTTTACATCATTAAAACACACAGATCCTCAAATACCAGACGAATGTATCTACTTACAGCGAAGGCTCAGTTCCCTGTGCTGATCCCTCATCCAGTCATTACACATGAATGTTGTCCTGTACCTCTGAAAAACACTCTATCAAACATGCATATTCAGGTCACGTCCTTCTGATATTTACCAAACTGTTCTGGAGCATGGGGAACACACAGATAATGTAGCTGTGTTTCAGTTAAACCAACACTATTCACACGTTTTGTGCCAAACAAACGTTCAACATTTATGATTCACAATCCAGTATGTTGCGTAAATGGTTTGTAATTGAAATGATCCAAAATGTTTCTGTGGAATCTCAGATTTTCTCAAAAAGACGATCAGACGAGATGAAAGGCATCATTCTACACTTTCTTTCACTTGTGTTTTATTTTCTGTTATTTAGGAGTGCGCTAATTGCTAAATTGTTAAATAATTGTCTGCATGAAATGACAAAGTATGTGGCAACATGAATAACTGCAGTTTTTGGTAAGCAAGGCAACAATTATCCGCCATTTAGGGTTTTAAATTTGGCTATCGAAAAACCAGTCTTGCTAGCCTGCCTCCATATTTAGCTAATTTTGCGTTAGCATCTGTAACTCAAATGGTTCTCCAAGCTAACGGGTTTCTGTAATTTTCTATCCATGACTGTAAAATAAATGGATATAAAGACTACTGTACAGGACAGTAAAAGGATGAAACTTAACTCAAAGTTTAAGATAATTTGTTAGCATTCAACACCTTGTGGCAGTTGCTAACGGCTAATGTCACGTTCACAACATTTTGGGTGCATTCATATCACTAGTGTTTTCGTCATTGGTAAACTGAAGATGCAGAGTTCTGTTAAATATGCTAAGCTAACAGCCAGAAGGTGATTAACTTATCTAAGAATATTAAAATCAAACAAGTATGATTCATGAGCTTTAAAACAGTTCGTAGACGTGCTGCATTTTTGCATTTTCAAACTTAGAACAGACCCAGGCTGCAGTTTCCCTTTACTTCCAGTCTTTAAGCTAATCCAGGCTAACCACCTGCTCTGTAACTTTACTAATTGTTGATGAATCTGGACAGAAGTTTAATTCACGCTTTGGCTTTTCAGAAAAACAGAAAAAATATGTTTTTTGTGATTAAAACAAATGAGTTACAGAAGTTAGCATAACAGAGGTTAGCTAGCAGAATTGGGTTACACCAGCTTTTCATAAATCCATTACTTCTTTACCGTAAAGCCCTGTGTAATTACTTGTTATTTTCTAGTAATTTACTAAATCAGAAATGTCGTAGCTAGTGAACTGATCCTGACATTGTTCTGTAAATAGTTTTCTGATAAATAATAAATACGGCAACTTCCAATCAATTTCAAACCTAAAATAACTTCCGGTTCAAACTCCGCCCACTCCGAGTATATTTATGGATACAGATCATTCAGTTGGTTAAACAGATACAGATAATGGTGTACTTGCTCATCCCGGACACTAACTTTGATTTTAATGCAAAACACAACACACAAACTGAAGTTCATAAAACCTTACGTTATAACTTAGCTAAACCTGAATTTATGAACAGTTGGTGCAACCTGAATTTTTTATGTCTTACCTGCACTTAATTTGTTAGTCATATTTTTAATATACGCCTGACACTGAAGTGAAGCTTATTGAATGGTTTCTGACAACATGAATCTAGTGCGTTTGGATTTTAACAAATTCTCTGACTTTTGGAAAGTATAACTCTGAACAACACGGTTTGATCGTGATAAAATGATGGTCTAATTTTTTGTTATTGTGTACAAGTTTTAAAATCATTTGACAGTACCAACTTTGTCCTCTAAAGTTCTTTGTACCAGCCCCCATTTTCCACCCTAACCTTCCAGTTTAGACCCACAAACATGCAGTACACCTCCTGTTTGTGCCGACAGACACCTTCTTTTGGCTTTTACTTCCAACTCTACTTCCAGGACTCTTTAAGGCACTCGCTGGTGGCAAAAAGAAGGCAGAAAGAAGCAAGTGTTGGTGGAGGAATAGCTATAGACTTGTTGACGTGAATCAGATGTGTCATATTTTACAACAATAAACTATATTTGTAGTGTGAGTACAGTTTGAACTCTGATTCAAAGATCTAAACAACAAATGTGGCACTTTGCTTTGAAAAGCTGGTGAAATCTGGCGACAGGTCTTCATCCGGCACTGAAAACAACCTCCAAAAAAAGTTTCACATTTCAGTTTGTTTACAGTTTGTTTTTATAAAAAGAACCACCAGATTATTTAATACAAGTTTGTTCCCCACATTTCTGTCTACACTCATCAAACAAGTCAGACGACAGCCCAAGCCTTGGAAATTACACACACTACAACAACACAAGATAGTTTCTAGAAGTTATTTGGCACCAGAGTTTTTTTCATGAACACATTTCTGAGAGACAAACGCCTCGGAGAAAGCTTATGAGAAGTGAAGAAGACAAAAAAGAATCTGTTTATTTCAGTCTTTGTATCTGGAGGTCATGTGGTGCCGAACTCATGAGTACAAAGATGCAGCACCAGCCTGAAGGTCGTATTGCTTCAGAATTTAAAGATGCAGTTTGTAAATCATCAATTAATCCAGCTTTAGTGGGAAAAAACCCGAAACTAAAAACTCTGTTCGCAGAAATCTGTGTTTCCCAGAAGGCGATGGGGCTTCATCATTTAACTTACAAACAGCATATTTAATCTTTGATATTAACTCAAGCACTACATAAAGCACGTCGTCTGGGCTCAGAAGGCAAAGAATAATGCATATATAGTGACGATGATAAATACGTAGCATAGAAGATAAATGAGTTAATTTACACTTCAGCGGCTTAAACGGCACTTAAACCCAACGACTGCTGCAGATCTAATAACTTTTTAGAGGAACCACAACTCACTCACTTAAAGAGCGGCTGTTCATATAAATGATCATATGGTTTATGTTTTCAATCTTCTTCTTCCATATTTCTCTAATTAACAGCCGGCATAAACGTATTTTCCCCAAATCTGCTTCATGAATTCAATAAAAAAAAGATTCTTTAACATATCGACTCCTTGACACAGATGCAGTTTGACACAGATGCAGATGTTTGTCGACAGGTTCGGTGCAGGTTAGTTTGAGCCAGAAATAAAACTGAACCAGCTTATTTTTCATTATGAACATTATGAAACATTTAATGTGCAGAATAAGGAGGAGGCAATCATCAGGAGGCACATAAAGTCTTTGCAGGTGCTGCGTAACAATTATTTGCACAAACTGTTTTTACCATGTTTGTGTAGAATGAAAGGAACAAGACAGCTGTGTGTGTTGTTTTGGTATTTCTATGTTGGATAATATGGAAGATATAAAATGCCCCAGTAGAAACAAATCAAGGAAATAAAGTGAAATACACACATTAAGATGGATTTCCTTTTTAAATATGTCATAAATGTGTCATAATTCAATTTAAAAATGTTAAAGGGACAAGCATTTAGTGTATTTGCAGTATAACTGAATTGTTTTTGTATTGCGATGTGGTTTTTCACACATTACAATCAAACAACAAAGAAAATACAGTCACTTTAATTGGACATGACATGGAAAATTTCAGCCAGTTCTCACTCCCAGCTCTTCAAGTATCGCCGCTTTATCAGTGGATCTTGTTGTCAGACACTGAGGCACAGCGGCAGCCTTCATGGCGGTTTGATACACAACGGGCAGCAGCAATTTGTAACGCCATCAGCAACTACAATAGTATAAAGAGCGAGAAAGTCCCTATGGGGGGGCGGTGACGTGGATGGGTCAAACAAACTCTGGACTTTCACTCAGGAGAGTGCTGTTCCTTACCTGTGAAACCCAAAGTCAATGGAGTTATTGTAATACCAATATAGTTTGCTAGTATGTGTAGCATGCTATGCTGGTAACATATGTCACATGACATCTGTCTTGCAATGTCACATCACATTGGAACATACTTATTTTAAGCCAAACCATAATGTTTTTCTAAACCTAATCACATGCTTTTGTTGTGTTAACCTCAAGTAATAAACCCAAAAATGTGTTTACCTACGTTCTTTTATTTTGAAAAACACTACGCATTTAATGAGCAGACACTACATATCCTCTGAAAACGGACGTGTGTTTTAAAGTGACACAATACATGCAACAAGCGTAAATTGACACGTCGTCCATGAGTGTCCTAAACTGACGCAAGAGGCTACCTAGCACGTTATATTTTGACACGTAGGTCCACTGACAAAGCGGGGGTATTTCAGAAGTTGGGATAAGAACGTGTTGAAAATTCAAGGCACCGTAAAAAACAATTCAGTTATTTGAGAAGAAAACAACATTATTGTTGTTTTTCTAAACATGCTTTCATTTAATTATTACACACTAAATGTATCTATAAAAAGGAACTATATATGATATTGGTATTTGATTTCTTTGATTTGTTTTTCTGCATTTTAAATCTTCCACAGAATAAGGTGGAGGAGTGTGTTTAATTTCATAATTTTTGACTGTGTGTTTTAAATGTTCGTACCTTAGACTTCCTGGAAAGCAGCACAGATAGTGACTGCATCACCCAGGTGAAATCAAGCAAATTAAAACCAGACTGTGTCCTGGATGCATATTTTTAGTCATCTTACAGCTCCACCTTAACTTCTAGAGTTACTTTAAACCTTTTTGAAGGATCCATGGATACCCTGTCTTCAGAAGACACTTCTTATGTGTGCAGAAAAGAAAAACGCAGCATCATATATGAAAGAAGTTTTGCAAAAGAAGTTAAATCGTACAAATTATAACAGCGAATCACACTTAAAAAAATAAAAGTGTTTCAACCACATGATTAGGCAGTCATGATTTTTCACATAAAGTAAAAACAAGCTGGTCCTCGGCAACAAAGTGGCAACGGTGTTGATATAACTGCTGAACACACACTCTCACACACACTCTTACTCACAGGATATGACATCATGGACCACCCTGATCAACACTTTACAAAAGAAAAAACAAAGCGGCACCGTATCAGTCCATTAAAAAGATCATTTTCATGTTGTATATGGAAATGCGAAGCCTCTGCTTAAAGCCTGCAAACAAAGAATAATATTAAAACTAAACAGAGCAAATTATTCAGCTGCGACTCGAGTCAACAGCACAGTGTCATCAGCATAGAAACACATACTCTGATATGAATACAACATTTGGCCATGACAGAAGGAAAGATGATGTTATGGTTTGATTTTTGGACGTCATACCCTGAATTCACTTTCCTCAGCTGTGCCTTCAGGTCGAACCAAGACCCGATTGGCCAGTGGTGTGTACCGTAGTGGGTTTTCATTGGTCGAGTACTTTTATTTGAGCTCGCTTTAAGGTAAAAGAAAGTTCATCAGAGCGTTTAGGATGAAAACCAAAATCTGTTGCTGACAAGAGACCAGATTTTCTGGTTCCTGTATTTAGAGACAGAAAATCTGACCTCAGATCAGACTGATCCACCTCCCATCCACAGTTCATAGACTCTCATGTAATACAATGAAGGAGAAGTGGTCACAAAGCGTCCTGGAGCAGCTGAACTTCCACTGCCAACTTCCAAAAAGGGCAAAAATAAAATATTTGGTAATGTCTCATTACTTCACTTCGATTCTTCAATCATCCAGAAATCTTCATTCCTTGTGCGGCACTTTTTCTTCTTCACTTCCTCTACGGCAAAATAAAATTTGTGGTATAGAGAAGCCAAACACAAAAATGCTCCGAGATCACACGTACCGAACGCCTTTTAAAAAAATAACCCTTTGATTTCACAAAGCTCCCATCTGCAGCCATATTATAGTCGCCATTTTGCATCCCTCTGTGGTATTTGTTTTGGGACGCCAAGTGGAAATACGCCATACAACTTAAGCAGACATCAGCGATTCTGTTTCCACCACTCTGAGCATATTCTAGCACTTTGTCCAAAATCTCTGCTCCTCTCCCCCCTGGAGTCCCATAACTCCTCCCCCTTCAGTCCCTATATGGTCAACAGCTTCCTGTGGCTCCACTAGCCCCTCCCACTTCAGTCCTTACATGATCAAACATTCAGTAGAGTCCGCGAGCTCGTCCTCCTTTGAGTCCTTAAATGCAAAACAACATCCTGTGTTTTAGTAGCCGTTATCTCGTCCCCCCGACCCCACCGTGAGGTCAGGGGTCAAAGATCAGTGACCTTGTTCTCCAGGGCGGCGGCGATCTGTTGGAGGCGGAGAGTAAGCTGCTTATTCTGGGCTGCGGGGTCCTCGTCCAGCGACTGGATGATCTGAAGACAATGACACAGAATTTAAAATTTCCATATTTGCTTTGACTGAAGGTTGATGAAACAATGAATGATGAAAATATAAACAGTTATTAGCTGCTTTAATTTTTCGTTAAAATGTTAAAACACAATAAAATACGTACATTACCTGATGATAAGAGTTATGATGGCAGTGAGCATTAGCTTTATTTGTATTTAATATGAGAAAATCAATAAATACAGTGACGTAAGGCTCCGATGTTAAATGATTGTTTTTACAATATTCATAAATGCGTATATTTTTCTGTTTCATATTTACATTTATGTGCAATAGCATATACGTCAGGCTGTTCTCATGCGCTGTTCATACATATACCTGTGAAAAGTAATGCTCCAGAATTCATATAACCTATGTAATCGTGAAGGCTGCGATCACATGACCAGTGCAACGACAAAAGTTTAGAAGGAAATCGTATAAAGAGAAACTGGGCAGGTGCGGTCAAACAAACACAGGACTTTCCCCAAGGAGATCAGTGTTCATGTGCCGTGTGGAATCAAGCGAATTTTGAGTTATTTTAAGGTGTGTTGTCACATTACGTTAATACATAACTTGACCTCAGGTACGTAATTTGATGACACTTAACCATGTTTCTTTTCCTAAACCTAACCTATGTAACTTAACAAAACAATATTTTGGGGGAATGAGTTTAAGTTAAGACACACTGTCTCTCTGTCTGTGTGCTGTCTTCATCGTCTAGTACATCCTACTCCTCGTCATCATCATCTACCAGAGTTATGAAATAATACTGTGCACCCTGGTCCTGTCTGTTGTCGCACATGTATGTGTCCTGCAGGTTACACACATTTCCTTCACAACTCTTGATCAAACATCTCTAAAGGTTTGACGGATGTTGAAATTTAGAAAATCAAATCTGTTACGAAAACTTCAATGACGGACAAAATTTTCAGGGTCAGTGTTTAAACATGTTTGGCACAACATGAGATCTTTTTTTTTTTTAAGTGCGACAATGTGGGAAGAAAAATCCAGACTCAGTGTGCAGAAGTAGAGAGACGTAAGAATATGTGCAATGTATAGAGATAATTATGCAAAAAATGTGTGTTAGTATGAGAGCAAAAAAACTGAAAGAGGTTTCTCACCACATCGTAGTACTTGCTGGCGTACTGGTACAGCTGATGTAAGGCCAACTGGGTGTTCAGTTTGTCTGTGTGTTGCTACAAAGTGGAAACAAAGGTCAGAAATTCAAACATGTTAAAATCTTCTAAAGTGAACACCAGGTGTATTTCCATTAAAATGTCAAGTGAATTCTACAGAAATGTTCGTAAGGCTGTGGAAGAAAATCCCTCCAAACTTTTAGCTTCCTCTGTGATCAGGTTTCTGTTCATTAGAGAGTTTGAGAGAAGTAACTGAAAAACAAATTGACAGGAAGTGACCAAAACAAACTGTGCAGCAAAATATAACCACAATGGGCTGATCTATGGACATAAATACAACAACAGAAATTATATTTGTATTCAAACATTAACTATGAAGACACTCAAACAAAGTCAGTAAATATGGAGTGTTTGGTCAATTTATTTTCTGTAAGGTCTAAAATCTAATTTTGGACACTGTCAAGACGTTTTATTAAATATAAAAAGACCCTTTTGTATGATAGGGCCGAATGTGTCAGTACCATTTTCTTGCTGTAGTTGTTCAAGGTGAAGCAGATTTTATTTATTTCATACTGCTAGGCAGATGTGGGACCAAGTCATTGTTTTGTAAGCCACAAGTAAGTTTAAAGTCTTTGCACTCAAGTCTCATGACGAGTCCTAAGTCCTAAACTAAAAGTTAAAATGTATTACATTCACAAAAATCATGATTTCTCCCAAGTGTCTCTGACAGTCTCCATCCATGTCAGTGAAAACATGGATGCTTCACACACAGAAGATCTATACAATCAGCACAGTTTCAAGATTATAACATGTTTTGTGAGGTCACAGTGACCTTGACCTTTAAACTTAAACCACAAAATTCCTTCTCTTGAGTTCAAGTGGATGTTTATGTCAAATTTTCAGAAATTCCCTCAAGGTATCATGTTCACAAAAATGAGACAGACAAGGTCACAGTGACCTTGACCCTTGACTTCTGACCACCAAAATCTACTCTGTTCATCACTGAGCTTAAGCGGACATGTGTGCCAAATTTGAAGAAATTCCTTTGAGGCATTCTTGAGGATGGGATGGACAAACAAACCCAAAACATAGCATCTCTGGCTGTCACTGTTGCGGAGGCATACATTTTTTTTTTACAGCATATAGCACCATATAGAAGTGACACAACAGAACGAATTATATCTGTTCTTGTCCTCTTTTCTGTTTTGTAGTCCTATAGTGTAAATGTTTAAAAATAGTAAATAGGGAACTCTGGTGTTGTGTTTGACATTGCCAACCTTAACATAGGTATCAAGTGTTTTTAAGGGAAAAGGCTCAAGTCTGAGTGAAGTCACAATCCAAGTCAAGTTGCAAATCTACGGAAGCATATTGCATTCACTTGACAAATTAAAAAAAATCTGTTTTATTGAGTAATTTTTTCTGTTTTTCGCAGTATTTTTTTTTTATTTTTCTGTTTTTCTGAGTTATTTTTTTTTTCTGTTTTTCGTGTTATTTTTTTTTTCTGTTTTGTTTATCGTGGTAATTTTTTTCTGTTTTTCGTGTTAATTTTTTTTTTTTCTGTTTTGTTATTCGAGGTAATTTTTTCTGTTTTTCTGAGTATTTTTTTCTGAGTTAAGAGAGCAATAGAACAACAGACACTTTCATTCCTTTTTTGAGAGCTCCATATAATGGAAGCAAACATGACCCACTTGTTTAGTTGAATCCAGTTTTACTTTGTTTTGGGTTTGAGACACTGGGAGATCCTCTTGTCTTTAAGTCATATAGATGGTGTTATCATTAGTTTGTCGACTTTACGCAGGCACCTTAAGACTTTGCGGTTGTTCAGACGAAAAGCCCATTCAGATCTGCTGGACACTGCAGTGTTTCTCCAGAATCAGTTGGACACATATGGCAAAACAAAGCAAAACTGGATTAAACTAAACAAGCGGGTCATGTTTGCTTCCATTATATGGAGCTCTCAAGAAAGGAATGAAAGCGTCTGTTGTTCTATTGCTCTCTTATCTCAGAAAAAATACTCAGAAAAACAGAAAAATAAAAAAAATTACCCCGAAAAACACAAAAATAAAAAAAATTACTCCGAAAAACAGAAAAATTACAAAAATTACCCTGAAACACAGAAAAATAAAAAATTACTCAATAAAACAGATTTTTTTTTTTATTTGTCAATTGAATGCAATATGCATCCGTACAAATCTGCTTTGTTTTTGCTGAGTCTAAAGTCATCAAATTTGTCGCTTGAGTCTGACTCGTGTCCTCACCTCTGTTGTTGGGTAGTTCAATCTTTAACAATGCATCATATTTAATAGGATCATCATGTGTTTTTATACGTAAAGTTTCAGTCTGTAACTAGATAAATGTAGTGCAGTAAAAAGTACCATAATTCCTCCTGAGGTGTGAAGTTGAAGCAAACAGGTGCGTAAAATGGAAAGAGTCAGAGTGAAGTAGAAATACCTCAGATAAATGTACAGTAGCTGACAAAGTGTGTTAGTGTTTTATGTTCCGTACCCTGGACACCTCAGCAAGGTGTGTGTTCATGTCCTGGTCACTGACTGGAACCATCTGTCTGATGCCTTTGTAGTAACTGGTGGACACACACACACACACACACACACACACACACACACACACATTTAATAACATGCTTCAGTATTGTTTAACACATTACACCATGGTCTGGGTGAACACTTGATTCTGATTGGCTGCATGGTGTCTGTTAAAAACTGATAATGGACGCCTACTAAGTAGTTCCAGTGAAACTGTCTCTTCTAAATTAATACGACAGAAGCAGTATCTGTAATCTGATTACAACTAAATTCCAACACTGAGAGTAACGTGAGTCCTTCAGTCCTCTGAACACCACAGGACAGAGACTGTAACACACCCTGCAGGTAAAACACTGACCTCCTGAACTTAAACAATCATCTCACATCCTGTCCGCTGTTCAAACGTGCTGCTTCAGGCTGCGGCCGACAGTAACGTCACACATGGCGAATTATTTGTTAGTGAAAATCTTGACATTGATTTGGGGACGCTGGTGGTGTTTCCAAAGAAAAAAACTTTAGATTTTGACTGCAAAACGCATCAAAATATGAATTATTATTTTTGCTCTTTTCTTCTTTGGTAAGTGACCATGCTATGAATGGGATGATGATCGATGAGGTGTCTGTTATCACTTTTTAACGGCCTTCACAGAGGCAACCGTCCTCCATTGACACCTCCATGTCGGCTGTTAGAAAGTGAGAATGGACACTTCGTCGGGCGTCGTCCTTTACTTATAATCTGGAGTTTTTGCAACTCACATGTCGCCCTGCTGTTCAGCCATAATACTTTCATACACACACATCTGTTGTTTTTCTGTATGTCTAGTGCAACACACTCACTCGTCCACCATCTTCTTGTACGTGGAAATCTCTTTTGCATAGAGCAGCTTGTTGCTGGGAGACTCCTGCAGAAAACAAACAGATCAAAGATGTTGAGTCATTTTCAGAGCTCCTCACAATCATCTACTGACTTTGTTCTGTGAGGAGGGAAGATGTTTTACAGAGAGAATCCTCTCTTGGATGCTCCTGCTCTGTTAAATATCAGCAGTCTGTGATGTTCAAACAGTCCGGGGTTTATTTAGTGATTAAGTGTCGTTAATTAACTCTTCTGCTGCAGCCAGTTTCCATCAGTCCGCCTCCTCGTCTGCTGCAGAGACTCCCTGTGAAAGACTTCAGACAGCAGCCTCTGAGAGACTCTCAACATCTGCAGAAGCTGCCTGACAATCTGCATGTTTTTATGTTTTCTTCAGTGTCACAGTGATCCAGTGTTAACGGCCTGTACACCCACGGGACACTGCAGACAGGAGCTGCTCACAGATCTTTCGGCAACTTCTAAAGGTAACGTTTAGCAAAACTGAAACAAATTTAAAACTGGGCTCAAAACAGAATACCATTGCTGTCCTGTGTGTGACATCACAACAACACATCTGCTGAGCTTTAACAGGACTTAATCTCCTGATTTTAAATTCTTCTGTTGTCGTATTGGTTCCCAAAAGTACTTTTGATTTTCTCAGTTTTCACTGAAATGTTCAAACTGATCTGATTAAACAACTACAAGGACAAGCAGCTTTTATGGGAAGAAAGCCAGATATTCACTTTGAAAAACAAAGACATCACTCTGAACAGGATTTAGATTTCAGGAGTGAAAAATGACCCAGATATAAACATTCTGCACAAAGTTAAGATCATTGACGAGCACAGGTGATATTAAAATCACCCCGCATCCTTTAGAGACAATAATCTCAGACTGAGATTCATAAACACTCTGTATGATCTGTATCTGTGTGAACTCACTCTGCTGAGTTTGTGCTCCGTCTTGGTGCAGGCGTCCATGAAGGTCTGAGAGATGACGTGTAGCGAAGCGTCCACCACCTCCGTCACGTGGACGTCGAAGATGAAGTGAGGGTTCCTCAGGATGTTCACCCAATACCTCAGAGGCAAGCTGAGGACACGCAGAGACACAGTCAGGTGGTTAAAAGACCCCACATTAAAAAGTTTTTGCAAAAAATTCTTTAGGTTTTGCGCAGTACGATGATCTTCAGAGAAGTACAGAGAGTTGTTGACTAGAGATGATACACCATGAGATGGCGTATCATCTCTAGTCGACAACTCTCTGTGCTTCTGATCTGTAACGTTGACAGGAAGTGACCGCCACGAGACGGCGTATCATCTCTAGTCGACAACTCTCTGTGCTTCTGATCTGTAACGTCGACAGGAAGTGACCGCCACGAGACGGCGTATCATCTCTAGTCGACAACTCTCTGTGCTTCTGATCTGTAACGTCGACAGGAAGTGACCGCCACGAGACGGCGTATCATCTCTAGTCGACAACTCTCTGTGCTTCTGATCTGTAACGTCGACAGGAAGTGACCGCCACGAGACGGCGTATCATCTCTAGTCGACAACTCTCTGTGCTTCTGATCTGTAACGTCGACAGGAAGTGACCACCACGAGACGGCGCATCATCTCTAGTCAACAACTCTCTGTGCTTCTGATCTGTAACGTCGACAGGAAGTGACCACCACGAGACGGCGTATCATCTCTAGTCAACAACTCTCTGTGCTTCTGATCTGTAACGTCGACAGGAAGTGACCACCACGAGACGGCGTATCATCTCTAGTCAACAACTCTCTGTGCTTCTGATCTGTAACGTCGACAGGAAGTGACCACCACGAGACGGCGTATCATCTCTAGTCAACAACTCTCTGTGCTTCTGATCTGTAACGTCGACAGGAAGTGACCACCACGAGACGGCGTATCATCTCTAGTCAACAACTCTCTGTGCTTCTGATCTGTAACGTCGACAGGAAGTGACCACCACGAGACGGCGTATCATCTCTAGTCAACAACTCTCTGTGCTTCTGATCTGTAACGTCGACAGGAAGTGACCACCACGAGACGGCGTATCATCTCTAGTCAACAACTCTCTGTGCTTCTGATCTGTAACGTCGACAGGAAGTGACCACCACGAGACGGCGTATCATCTCTAGTCAACAACTCTCTGTGCTTCTGATTTGTAACGTTGATAGGAAGTGACCGCTTTCTTCAAACCAACTCATGAACCTAACGTTAGCTTAGCCAGCTAGCTGCAGCAGAGAATGTGGCTGAAATAAGGAGCTGCTTTTGTGTTCCTGGGTCTGAAATTAAGAACTCATTGTTTCAAGTAAGACATGACTGTTTTTGGCAAATTTACCCGTCATCACAACAAACTGCACGAGTGCAAGAACATTAAGCTCGACAGGTGTAGCAACAGTAACTAAGGAATAAATTTCAGACAGAGTTTTTAAGGACCTGCTGACACACAGTTTCTCTTCATCATTTCATCTCCTCCTCCACAGACACCATAACCCTCATCAATAATTCACTACAGCTGATGAATATTTCATTGTCCACCATGTCTGCGTGTGTGTGTGTGAGATGATTGACAGGCTGAGCTCAAGGCCAGTTTGAAAACAGAGAAGTTAGAGGTAATAAAAAAGCAATCTGTGTGTCTGTGTTTCCTCTCTTCATCATCGTTTACCTGTCCTGAGAAAAGACGGCCAATTAGATCAGCCTTTAATGTTGGCAGTGAGGACATAATTACACTGTAGTTAAGCTGATGAGGCACAACACACACACACACACACACACAGATCAAGTTGTGTTTGTGTCTGCAGGTCGTCTCTCCAGTTGTATTCTCAGTCTCGAGAATAAAATGCTTATTTAGTCACATTTGAGTATACTTAGGCCCAATCCCAACACCCCTCTTGGCCCTACCCCTTAGCCCTTGTCCACTACCCCTTAGCCCTTGGCCCTACCCCTAGCCCTTGGCCCTACCCCCTAACCCTTGTCCACTACCCCTTAGCCCTTGTCCACAACCCCCCCTTGGCCCTTGGCCCTACCCCCTACCCCTTGGCCCTACCCCCTAACCCTTGTCCACTACCCCTTAGCCCTTGTCCACTAGCCCTTAGCCCTTGGCCCTACCCCCTACCCCTTGGCCCTACCCCCTAGCCCTTGTCCACTACCCCTTAGCCCTTGCCCACTACACCTTAGCTCTTGGCCCAACCCCCTAGCCCTTGGCCCTACCCCTTAGCCCTTGTCCACTACCCCTTAGCCCTTGTCCACTACACCTTAGCTCTTGTCCACTACCCCTTAGCCCTTGTCCACTACACCTTAGCTCTTGGCCCTACCCCCTACCCCTTGGCCCTACCCCTTAGCCCTTGTCCACTACACCTTAGCTCTTGGCCCTATTCGTCCACTACCCCTTAGCCCTTGTCCACTACACCTTAGCTCTTGGCCCTACCCCCTAGCCCTTGGCCCTACCCCTTAGCCCTTGTCCACTACCCCCTACCCCTTGCCCACTACCCCTTAGCCCTTGGCCCTACCCCTAGCCCTTGTCCACAACCCCCCTTGGCCCTTGGCCCTACCCCTTGGCCCTACCCCTACCCCTTGGCCCTACCCCTTAGCCCTTGTCCACTACCCCTTAGCTCTTGGCCCTACTCGTCCACTACCCCTTAGCCCTTGGCCCTACCCCTAGCCCTTGCCCACTTCCCCTTGGCCCTTGAAATGATTGAACGAGGGGTAGGGGTTGAAATCTTTCCCTAGGAATTGGGACACCACTCACTACGTCACTGTGTCGGTTACATTCACGCATACGGAACTATTTTAAACAGGAAGCTGCGAGCCATTACATTTCCAACCGGCATCTACAATGTAACTGTAACGTTAGCTACTATTATGCTTGCTACTAACGTACCATTAGAGTAATAAGATAGCTAGCTAACCAGCTAACATTACGAAGCAGCATAGTCATACTAGCTGGCGTGTTATCGTAATGTGAAAAATCCGACAATTTTGCAGAACAGGACAGATGACAGACGCCAGATAGTGCGAGCTAGCTAGCTAGCTAACAAGCAACCTGACCACTGTAACGTTAGCTAGCTAGCTAGCTTTCTGTCAACTCCAATCTAGACATCGTGAATAGCAATAAAAACTTTTTTCCCCGTCTCTTGCTCGGTGGTAGCCATGGCGACGTCTACCCCTCGCTGGCAAGTCAGCATCTGAAATCCCTCGCTCCGAAGGGCTAGTTTTATACCCACTACCCCTCGTTATGCCCCCTGCCCCTACATGCAAAAAGGAATTGGGACACCCGTACCCCTCGCTGGAACGCGCAAATGTAGGGATAGGGCCAAGGGGTAGGATTCTTCATAGCTCAAGTCGACAAATTGTTGACATGTGCCCATGCCTTGACAGGTCAGAGCCAAGTCCAGTCCTAGGAGGACCCACCATAGATGGGGGGTACGTCTGAGGTACCAGCAAGTTCCTCAGATGTTCGATCAGATTGGGATCTGGGGTATTTGGAGGCCAGGTCAACACGTTGAGCTCTTTGTCCCGTTCCTCGGGTCATTCCTGAGCAGTTTTGGGTTGTGGCATGGTGCATTGTCCTGCTGGGGGCAACAGCCATTGACAAGTGCCATTGCCACGAGTTCCCTTTGCAGTACCTGTACCCTGTTCACAGATCAGTAGCTGCTCTGTTGTCTCTACAGACAGTTGTGTTGTTTACCTGTTGGTCTTCCAGATGTGCAGCGTCTCCTCGTCCACGTTGTCGTGTCTCAGCGCCTGCTCGTCCAGGAAGTCAAAGAAGTATTTGACTGCAGGAGGGACGACAGAGCTCGAGCACAAAACACTGCGGAAGAAATCGTCCACGAACTGCTGTAGAGTGCCCTGAAACACACACACACGCACACACACACAGGTGTTTATATACATACGCAAGTTTACCTGTGCAAAGTTGCTGAGGATCCCGTTTGTTTCTTAAGTTTTATTTTGTGTTTGTATTATTTTAACATGTTCAATAAATTGATAATAAATAAATTCAACAGATAAAAATGTTTGTGTTTCACAGTTTGAGCTGTGAATCGAGCGTCTTTGAATGAATCAGGTGTTTACAGACAGCAATGCTGTGCAGAGGGCTGACAGCTTCATTATGGTGAGTCACACACACACACACATGCACACACACCTTGACGGACAGCAGCCTGGTCAGGTAGATCTCCGTGATGGCTTTGGTCATGGCCTTGTCCTTCATGCTGCCTCTCTTCGACTTCACCTCGTCGATCTCATCCGCCGGCCGCACCAGGTGGAAGGTGTTGTCGTCCTCCAGCAGGGCGTTTTCTGGTAACGACACACACACACACAGACGTCACACTGCTGGCTGCATCTGTCTGATGGAGCTGTTCTCATTGAGGCACAGGTGGATCTGATGTCGTTATTCAGACAGAACATTTACAGAAGAGAGACTAAATGATGGCACCTGCTGCACGAGAGGGAGCAAAGAGATGAAGATGTTTCTTTAAAAGGAAGTTTTGTTGGATTTCAGTTGTCAGATCAGTCTCAGCTGCAGCGTCACACAGCATGATGTGAACTTTATGCTACTGTTATGTTCATCTATGTATTGACATCAGTGTTCCTGATGTCAGCAGAAAAACCTTTGGGGACATTTCTTTCAGCTACTAAACCCCAAAAATACGGAACAACCTTTAAATACCCACCGGCTCAGTCGACAACTCTAAACACATATTTTTATTAAAGCCCATCACTAGCAGCTTCCTGTTCTTTCTTTCTTTCTTTCTTTCTCTTTGAAGGAGTGTTGTATAATTTAATGGTAACTGTATTCTGTGTGTGAAAGGTGCTTCATGAATAAAGTTCATTCATTCATTCATTCATTCATTCATTCATTCTCTGTCACCGTTCAGCTCAGTGACTGGTTGAACACGGTGAAGCTGCTCTGTAGTGTCTTCAGTTCTGGTTGTTTATGACTCATCACAGTTCAATATACGGTTCATGGTTGTGAGATTACTGTTAAAGCTTTACACTGTGTGTTGCCATGGCAACCTGCGACTCTGATTTTATTTGCATCTAATTAAAACACCTGTACTGTCCGACATCTGATAGTAAAACTCCATCCATCCATTCACCATTTCGACAGTCATGGTTTGGTTTGGTTTCGTTTGGTTGGTCCATCAGCCCAGCACAGCAGGGATTTACATTTCCATGACAACAGGACTACCTGCTGAAGGTGCGTCTAAAGCCCTTTTTAAACAGGAGTTGTGCAAATTTGCAGGAAAGCCCAATCAGTGTTTTTTCAGCATTGGCAGTATAAAAACAAAATCGGGGAGTGCAGCAAAATGCCGCCTGCCTACTTTTGTTTATACAGAATGTGCCTTTTTCGGGGCAATGGGGGGCGTGAGCAAGTAACAAAACGTGTAGCTCAGCGTGTGACGTAAACAGTGACGTGGGAGGGAAGCCGCGGCTGGTCAGACCTTCGGCGATTCTCTCGTAAGTCGGCCCTGTGTGTCTAAATGCTCGCAGCTTGCCGGCAAATCGGCCCAACATTCGCCGAAAATCTGGCAGTGTAAAAGGGGCTAGAAACTGATGACGGCTTGTCTTGAGTGATGATGATGAAGCAGCAGGCTGATCCACGCCTAAAGTCTCCTGTTATTTTGAAATGTAAAAACTTTTATTGTGAAGCAACAAAATAAGGAAATGTTGACAACTTCTAACACGGCTGACAGTGAAGATGAAACAATAAAATAAATCAGATCTGTAAAGTACAAACAGGATGCAGGAGAGAAACTAAACTCCAAACCACAGAGATTCAGTCAGAGGCTACAAACGTACTGAGAGCTGAACACACAGAGACTTTTAAAGACAGCTGTCTCTCTGGTCTCGTGTGACAGTGGAAAAGGCCCACATGTGGAATAAATCAAGTTTCAAGATGAAAGTGAAGTTAAGAAAATTTGAAATAAGGAAATATTTTCTAATCAGCAGAGACGACACACACATGATACACGTCGAGTGCAGGATGGAAACATATAAGGACCTGAGTATTTGTATTTCAGTACAGCAGAGTTATATCCCACTACTGCCCAAAAGTCTGCCTCAGGGTGTGTGTGTGTGTGTGTGTGTGTGTGTGTGTGTGTGTGTGTGCGTGTGTGTGTGTGTGTGTGTGTGTGTACGTACTCTCTTCGTAGCTGTCTTGGTGCTGGTGGAAAGACTGCGTGTGCAGAACTCTGGACAGAACCAGCGTGGCGTTATCTCGAACCTGCAACACAAACAATCATTGACATCAGATGAGAGGCATAAATCCTGAGTGACGCCCACAGTTATTACTCTGTCTGTAAACACTGTGCTTTAAATGCCAGAGGGGAAACTGCTGCAGAGTTTTAGTTTCTCTTGGTTTTCTTGCAGCGTGAGGACGAGTCTCACGTGGCTCGACATTTCACTGCGCTCAAGTTTTTGGTTGTTTCAGTGCAGAATGAAAAGTCTGAGCTCGACACAACGAAGCAAAGCTGATTAAAATCATCCAGCGTCTGAAGCATGAAGATGAAGTCCAGTCTGACGCTGCATCAACTGAAGCTGTGGGACGAAGGAGCTGAAACCTGCACAGACTGGACAAACTGTTTCCACCAGTGGTCCTCAACCAGGGGTCCAGGGAGCAGACACATGGGGAACAGTTTATTTTTGCTTTCTTACTCTAGATCTAGTCTAGAATACAAAGTGTGGTGCATTAACGCCTGCAGACTGAACTTACGTTGTAATGAGCCAGAGTGTTGAGTCTCTTCCAGCGTCCCTCCTTCTGGGAGGTGAGGTCGAGGTCAGACAGGATCTGGCCTGTGGAGCCGGGGCGCCACTCTGTGGACGGACAAGAAAAAATTGACATCAATACTAATGTCATGATGTCACTGTGTGTTTTTGTCATGTGACTGCTGCTTTTTCTCTCTGCTGCACTCAGACCAGTCTGACAGAGGAGATCCTGATGTTTGAAGGACTTTAGATAAAAATAAAACTCCAACTCAACAACGGTACCACATTATGCTATTATGATATTTTGTGATTTTGCTGATGTAACAGGGAAATGTATCTTTATTATTCATAAAGTAATCTGTAATCTGTTACTTCATATCCTAACAGTTTGCGTTCACAAGCAAAATGATAAATATTTGTGTAAATATAAATATAGTAACAGTTTGATTTCGCCCACTGTGTGTGTGTTTCTCACCCAGAGCAACACTCTCCACCTTCGGCCTCTGTGAGTACGGCAAATTTCTGTACACCTGATCGATGATCTTCTCTTTCACCTGCACGACACAAAGTTCTGAATTTACCAGGCAGAACTGTGCTCCTGACACAAGAACTAAAATAATATTTCAGTCACATTCATCAGCGCTGAAGTGAACACTGACAGACAGCAGAGAAATATCACACCAGAAGCTTTGCCCTTGTATCTTAATCAGACACTTCCTGTCTGGTAAAGAGAATCTATGAGTCAACTCTGATTCTTATAAAGTCTTTGTCCCCTGAATATGAAGCCACTTCAGAAACACACCCACCTGTGAGATGGTGTCACAGTTCAACACCTTCACTGGAGTCACGTCTGGTCCTTCCCCGTGCACCAACACCTGCAGAGTCTGACATCACAAACACACCTGTCACACTCTGAGGAAGTGACGGCACATTCACTTCTGTGAGCGAAATAAAAGCTGCGATTGTTTTCCTTATTGATCAGTTTGATAAAAGAAGTGATGACTTGAAAGTCTTGTTTTGTCCAAAACCCACAAAGATTCTGCTGATTAAGATATTAAACAGAAAATAACAGAAAATCTTCACATTTCAGAAACTGCACATTTAAAGCATTAAAGGATTTAAAACAACAAAAGGAGGAAAACTACTGCTGTGTTGTGTGTGTTGTGTGTACTGTGTGTACTAACCAGTACAGAGTACTCCACGTCGTCCCCCAGCAGTCCCGTGTCGTTCAGTGTGTATTTGGCTTTCTTCATCTTGGCGTCCACTGGTCCTTTCTCCACCTGATGCTTCAACGCCTTAAACAGTTTGTATAAAGGCTCTCCCGCTGTGTCCTGAAATACACACACACACAAATTTGTTCACATTGTTCATATCAGTTGCTGTTGTCAGCGCAGTAGCATCCATGTCAGTGAAAACATGGATGATTCACACACAGAAGATCTATACAATCAGCACAGTTTCAAGATTAGAGTCACCAATTCAGTATCTGACCAAATGTCTCCCCTTCTGTTCCTGAGATATGACGTTAAAACATGATGATGTCACAGTCAACCTGACCTTTGACCTTGAGTCTAAGTAGACATTTGTGCCAAATTTGAGGAAATTCCCTCAAGGCATTCAAAAGACATCTTGTTTGCAAGGATGAGACAGACATGAGGTAACAGTGACCTTGGACCACCAAATTCTAATCAGCTCATCGTTGAGTCTAAGTGGACATTTGTGCCAAAGTTTAAAATTCTCACAAGACGACCTTGAGATATCGTGTTTACAAGAATGGGATGTATGCAGAAACGTACGCACAGACCTGAAAACATTTTACCTCTGGTCATGGCTATTGCTGGGGTGTAGGCATAGTAAAACTTTTCTTTTTAAATTAGCATATGATATATTAAATATGTCACAGTGACCTCTGACAACCAAATTCTAGTCAGTTCATCCTCAAGTCCAAGTCAGCGTTTGCGCTAAATTTGAAGGGATAGAGATATCGTGTCCATGAGAATGAGATGGAGGCAAGTTAATAGTGACCCTGACCTTTGACCACCAAAATCTAATCAGTTCATCGTTGAGTCCAAGAGGACGTTTGTGCCAATCTGAAGGAATTCCTTCAAGGTGTTCAACAGATGAGACAGACTTGGTCAAACTGTCCTTGAACTTTGACCTGTCATCACTGAGTCCAAGTGGACATTTGTGCCAATTTTGAGGGACTGAGAAATCTCCTTTACAAGAATGAGATGCATGCAAGGCCACAGTGACCTTGACCTTTGACATTAAAACATGATGATGTCACAGTCAAGCTGACCTTTGACCTTTTGACCTTCATTATTTTATCCTGTTAGACACTCCTGACTTTCACACTCCCGTGTCAAGTTTGGTCATAATTAGTGAATGAATTCTTCAGTTATGTGAGGTCACACTGACCTTTGACTTTCAACCACAAAATTCTAATCAGTTTATTCTTCAGTCCAAGTGGACTTTGTGCCGAATTTAAAGAAATTCCCTGAAACTGTTCTTGAGATATGTTCACAGGGATGGGACAGATGTGCGTGTGTACAGATGGATGAACGGACAACCCGAAAATGCAGAGGCATAACAATCAGGCACACTGAGCAGGTTTCAACAAAACAGACAGAGTTAAGTTTCAGTTTGAGTCCATTAAAACTGAAGAAACAACAGACGAAGAAAATGAAGAAGAAGAGAAAGAAGGAGAAGAAGAAGAAGAAGAAGGGAAACAGATGGAAGAGAATTGTAAACGCAGTAAAACAACAACAGTGTTTGTTACCTTGAGGAACTGATAGAGACAGATGGACATCCAGTTACAGAGCATCCTCTCCACCACCGTCTCCGACCTGGACACACACACACACACACACACACACACAGAAAATAGATAAAGACATTAGAGGACATTTTTCATTTACAGTGTAAATAAAAACAAACAAATAAACTTACAGCCTATAAAAATAAATAAATGTGCTTTTCTTTATCATTTTCTCTGACAGACGTCCTCAGAGAGTGTGTGTGTGTGTGTGTGTGTGTGTGTGTGTGTGTGTGTGCTGACCTCCTGAGCATGAGTTTGGGGTTCTTGTTTTGCACATGTTCGTCCATCAGCTCCAGCAGCAGCGTCCTCATGATGTCAGTGTAGTACTCCAGTTTACCGTGCAGCGCCACCGTCAGCAGTGAGGCGAAGTAACCACGAGCCCGGGCGTTAAAGTCCGGACGACTCTCCAACGTGCGGATGAACTGGAGGACAGAGACGGTTACGAACATAAGTCTATAAAAACATGACTGTAGGTGAGTAATCTTTTAATCTAATAATCCATGGCTGGAAAAATCTGCAGCAGGAGGAGGAGGTGAAGAAGACAGAAACAAAGATGACATAGAGCCAAACTTCTAGTGAAGCATCTTGAGACTCACGTTGATGAGGAAGGTTTTACTGTTGAGCAGGTTGGAGAACTGGTTGAGCGCCTGAGCCACGATGGCCCTGCGGGCTTCTGGGATTTGTATTTTCCCTGTGATCATGGTGTCGTTGGCGCCGTCCTTGGAGGGCAGGAAGAAGTTTCGGTCGGTGTAGGTTTTGTAGTCAAGGAAAGGGATCCGGGCCTCGCTCAAGTCGCTGGTGTGATCCTCCATCTCTATCATCAGATCTGACACACACACGCACACACACACACACACACACACACACACGGAACAATCAGGAAATATTTTATAACTTCAGCATGTTGAAGAGGTCGTGTTGTTTTCCTCTGTATTTGTCTGTCTTGCCGTCTACAGACAGATTTTGTCAATGCGTGACGTCACACCTGTGCAAGATGCAGTCTAAAAGCTTTACCGATGTGCAGTTGAGACCAACACGAAGGCCGAGATCAAAGGTAGTCTGAGTAGGGGGGCCAGAAGTACAGCCACTGGCCCACGTCTGCTTTAAAGGGATATTTTGCTGATTTTCAACCAGCTCTGTATCGTCACCTTCTCAGTGTGCTGTCACCTTGTCGTGGTGGAGATGCTTGCGCACCTCTATGACCCTGAGAGCTATGCTGGGGGGTCCGTGGCCCCTGGTAGGTTCAACCTTACCAGTTTGGTCTCAAGTGAGGAGCCAGACAAAAGTCAGCAAGCTGGCCCTCCAGGCTTGGGGGCATGGTGCTAACAATTCCACCTCATGAAAAACACTACTACTACTACTGACATCAGAAACATCGTAGACACCCGCCACCAACACAGTGACAGTATGACCACTCCTGATGAAAGCTGAAAGCAGATCAGGAGTGTGAAAGAGGGTCTATCAGGGCCAAAATCCAAGATCCGCCTTGGGACATGGAATATCTGAACCCTGTATGAGACCACCGAGACAGCGCAGGTCCTCGGTGAGATGAAGAGATACCACCTGGACATCCTGGGATCAGTGAGAGTCACTGGACCAGCTCCAGACACCAAGTGCTGCATGATGGATAAAACCTAGACAGCCCAAAAGCACCTGGTGCAGAACTGTGATACTGGAGCTGGAACAGATGGACCTGTCCTTGGGAGAGATGCAACATGCTGCCAAGGATCAAACGCAACGGAGAGAACTCACTGAAGCCTGATGTCCCACCAGGATGAAGAGGAGTCAGTAAGAAAGTTTGTATCGTCACAATGTGGGACGTACGTGAGTGAGTGATCCAAGATGGTCTCTGGTTTTAGATTAGATTTTGATGTCTCAAGGGTCCTATGTGTTTGTTTGGGGATCAGAGACCCTCTGAGACCTCCCTGTAGCTCACACACTGAGTACAGTCTCATCAGAACCAATAAAACCGATCGGCAAAACAACTAAAGTCAGACTCAGGTTGTCGTTTCGCAGTTTGACTGTTTCCAGCATTAACGCTCCCTCCTCAGTCAGTCATGTGACCTCACGTCTGTCAGGTGAGTGTGTGTGTACCTGTGAACTCTTTCTTGCAGCGATCTCTGACGCTCTCCTCCAGATTCTCCAGCTGGTGTTTCACCTTCTCGTACTCTCGCTCTGCCTGCTGACTCTTCCTCCTGTTAACACACATCACAGATATTTAAACGCATCAACACGCAGGAAACAAACACGTCTGTGTGTCTTTTTAAAAATTATGTTTCTGACCTGTAGCAGTAGACGGACACGATGATGAAGAGCAGCATGGGGACGATGACTGCGGGGATGATTATAGCCAGAGGGATGTCGTCTTTCCTGGCGTAGTAGACTGAACCCACCGTCCACTCGCCGTGACCGAACTTCACCTGGACAGAGACACAGAGCCGCTCAGTATCGGAGGTTAACAGGGTAAAAATTTAACCTCTGAAACATCTGAAGCATCATTTCATACACCATACTGAGGACCTGGGGTGGAATTCTTTACAAAACTCAGTGGATTTAAACATGAACATGTCGTTATCCTGTAGAGTGTCTCTGAGTATGTCAAAAAGTTGTTGTCCTTCGACTTCTTTATCATCAGCTCAGAGTTTGGAATTTGACTTTTGTGTTAAAACGTAGGAACTCATAAATAATTCTGCTGACCTCGTAGATGCTAACATGCTAACATGTTAACATCAACATTCAAGCCTGTTTGGGAACCAGCAGGAGAGGGGCGTCTGGTGGGTGGAGCAGCCGTCCCATACACGAAGACATATCGTGTACGTGTCGATTTCTAAATGGATTTATGAACTTTTATTATCAGAGATGACGATGACGATACCCTTTGTGGGGACTTTTGTATTTGTCCTGCTGTTACAGGCCATAATATCCTGCAATTTCCCGATAGTTAAAATGTCATCTATGAACAATGAGTTCAGTCACAAAGCAGGGAAATGAATATTTTATTCCCCACCTCCTCCCGTTATATTAATCCTGTCTGAATGAGCATCACCAAATTATCATTTTCGCACAAGTAAACTCGAGTTACCACTTTGCGTTTGTGTGTCTCCACAAACAAGTCGCACTTATAGTTTCCATCCATGTCAGTGAAAACATGGATGCTTCACACACACAGGAGATCTATACAATCAGCACAGTTTCACTGGCCAAAAACATGTTTTGAGGTCACAGTGACCTTGACCTTCGAATACCAAATTATAACCGCTCATCGTTGAGTCCAAGTGAACATTTGTGGCAAATTTGAAGAACTTCCTTAAAAATGTTCTTGAGATATTGCATTAATGAGAATGTGATGGACGGGGTCACAGTGACCTTGACCTCTGACCCCTAAATTCTAATGGTTTGCGACTCAAAGTAGTCATCTGTGCAAAATTTGAAGACCTCAAAGTGGACGTTTGTGCCACGGCATTCTTGAGATATTGCGTTCACAATAATGAGATGAATGCACAGTTACAGTGACTGGACAGATGAACAGATTTACAGATGGACGACCCAAAAGTATAATGCCTGTGTCCACGGCTATCACAGATTATTGATGATGTAAAGGTGGACGTGTGTGAAGTTACCGTCAGGTCCAGCGGTTCATTGGTCGTGTCTCTGCGCTGGCGTTTGGATCTGGATTTGGGCTGCGATGAAGGAGCCTCTAGGATCAACTTATCATCCTGCACACAGACGGAGACACACACAAGAGTCACACAGCTGAACTCAACATCAGACTGATGACATCACTTTATTACAGATAGTAATACAGACCTGGACTAAAGAAGCACCAACTGATCCGCCTACTGTGGTTTAAAATAGACCCTGTTTGACTTGAGTCCCTTTATAACCAAGCAATAAAGTCCACATATTACAGGTTATACATATATATAAATGTCACCGAGCTTGTTTTATTTTAGTAGTTTGCAGGTCAAAGTAAAGCTTTAAAAGAATCTCAAGTCTTTTTTTTAACAAATAACATCATGTGTAGAAATAAACATTAAACTGAATTCCCTTTAGTTTTAATTTAAAATGCACGTGGAGGAACTGTTTGAGTTCGCTACAACAAAATAAACTAAAGACAAACTGAAGACTCCCTAAATGTTTTTAAACTTAAAGGAACACTTCATCCACAAAATGATCATTTATACATCAGTTGTTCAAAATGTGTTACGTTGAATTTGTAAAGAAAACATTGTTTTTCTCTCAGGCCTCTGCAGGGCTTCAGGACACTTGGATCACTACGGACGAGCAGTATGGAGATATTTTGTGGTTTCAATGATGTGTTTTTGGACGTTTGAATCTGGGGCGCCGTCAGCCTCCATTAGGTGGAGTTGTGTTGCTACCTCCTCTCCCCTTGGATCTCTGCAAGTGATGTGAGGACTCTAAAACTTCACCTGAGCCTCCCTCGCCATATGGGTGAGTAGATAATGGCTGAATTTACATTTTTGGCTGCACTATCCCTTTAAGTTACTGATGCTCTTGTCACAGCCAGATTCCTTTGACAAAAACAGTAATTTTAGCTCTCTGATCACAGGAGCTGCTGGTCTACTGCTGCCTACATCAGTTAGATAGCTTGTGTTATTGTGTGATTTTGGTGTTTTAAAGGGTTAATTCAGATTCACCAAAGTCACTAACTAACTAACTGAATGAGGCAGCAGTAGACCAGCAGCTCCTGTGTTCAGCGAGGTAAAATCATTGTTTTTGTAAATGGAGTCTGGCTCTGACGAGGGTAGAGATCAATTTCACTGTCAGTTCAGTTCACTGTCACAAATTTGTGTGTGTTTGTGAAGTACTGATCATCCGACTGGATAAATGAGACTTGAATTATACTGCAGGAGTTGTGAGAGTTTCTAAACAGATGTAATAAAAGTTTTACTGTTGTTTAACACGGACCCCTGTGACCTTAATTCATCAAGACTTTTCTGCATTCTTTAATTGTCCGTTCATCGTGGAGACATGAGAGAAAAACAATTTTCTTCACAAACTCAAAACAACACAGTGAGTATCTGATATGCAGATGATCATTTGTATATATAGGGGTGAAATATTCCTTTAATACCAAGGTCCTCATTATTTTTGGTTCTGGGGAGCAGGAATTTAAGAAAGTTTTTAAGCCAAACTTTACACCACTGACTGCTGAATGAAGTTCAGATGATATAAGAGGATGAACATGAAGAAAGTTTGTGTTGAGGTACATTTGAACACGCAGAATCAGGACTGAAAGTGTGGGACATTCCTGTTTTTGTAAGATAACATCTTTTATCAGGTGTTTGCTGTTTAGTGTTGAATGTGTCCTGACGCTGTGTTTCTGCAGCATGACGGTATCAGCTCAATTCAGCTGAACAAACAAATAAAAAGCAAATATCAGCTCCATCTTTACAGTGTGAATCCATTATAACCTCATTTCTCACTCCTGCAGGGGAAACAGAGAGACGTGTGTGTTTACCTGCAGGATGTTAACATGACAGGAAGCGTCTCCAACAAAAGCCTGCGCCTCTTTGGCTGTCATGGCCTTGGAGAACCCTCGACCCTGGCGGAGAAAAACAGAGTGATGTCAGTAAATCCAGAGATAAAGAGTGGTGTAGTATATGAAGTGTGGATGTAAGCGTTTGTCCTCACAGTGACGATGATGATGCTGGTCTCAGTGATGACGTTCTTGTCGAGCTCATTGAAGGTGGGGTCAGGGTGGTAGTTGAAGCTCTTGAGGTCCTCCATCACGTTGTCCAGCTGGAGGACGGTCCGCAGAGACGGGCTGTTGGCGCAGCAGTTTACAGGAGGAGAGTAAAACTGGAGGACGGTGCCGTTCTTACTCAGAGACTCCTGGACAAACTGAAGAAGGAGATAAAGAAGAAGTGAGTCCAGCTGCGACATGTTTTCTTCTTTTACATTCAGTCAAGACCAAATTACAATATTTAAATTAAGACAACACAATGAAACAAGAACAAAACTAGAATTACTGCCCTGCGGTTGTATGACTCTGCCAACCAGCCATGACAGCTGACAAAGGTTCAAACATGGAAGCTTCACACACAGAAGATCTATACAATCAACACAGTTTCAAGATAAGAGTCACCAATTCAGTATCTGACCAAATGTCTCCCCTTCTGTTCCTGAGATATGACGTTAAAACATGATGATGTCACAGTCAAGCTGACCTTTGACCTTTTGACCTTCATTATTTTATCCTGTTAGACATTTGTGTCAAGTTTGGTCAGAATTAGCGTATGAATTTTATTATGGCCAAAAACGTATTTTGTGAGGTCACAGTGACCTTTGACCTTTGACCACAAAACTTGAATTAATTCATCCTTGAGTCTTAGTGGACGTTTGTGCCAAATTTGAGGAAATTCCCTCAAGGCATTCATAAGATATCTTGTTTTCAAAGGAAGAGACCGATGCAAGGTCACAGTGATGTTTGAACACGAAATTCTAATCAGCTCATCTTTGAGTCTAAGTAGATGTTTGTGCCAAATTTTAAAATTCTCACAAGACGACCTTGATATATCTTGTTTACAAGAATGCAAGTATGAGATGGACATAAGGTAACAGTGACCTTGGACCACCAAATTCTAATTAATTCATCATTGAGTCTACGTGGACATTTGTGTCAAATTTGAAGAAATTCCCTCAAGGCGTTCTTGAAATTTCTTGTTTGTGAGGGATGAGATGGATGCGAGGTCACAGTGACGTTTGACCACAAAACTGTAATCAGCTCATCTTTGAGTCTAAGCTGTGCCAAAGTTTAAAATTCTCACAAGACGACCTTGAGATATCGTGTTTACAAGAATGTGATGTATGCAGAAACGTACGCACAGACGGACAACCTGAAAACATTTTACCTCTGGTCATGGCTATTGCTGGGGTGTAGGCATAGTAAAACTTAACATATTTAATATATTGTCACAGTGACCTCTGACAACCAAATTCTAGTCAGTTCATTCTCAAGTCCAAGTCGATGTTTGTGCTAAATTTGAAGGGATAGAGATATGATGCTCATAAGAATGAGATGGAGGCAAGTTAATAGTGACCCTGACCTTTGACCACCAAAATCTAATCAGTTCATCGTTGAGTCCAAGAGGACGTTTGTGCCAAATTTGGAGGAATTCCTTCAAGGTGTTCTTGAGATTTCAACAGATGAGCAGGTCAAAGTGACCTTGAACTTTGACCTGTGAACAACAAAATCTAGTCAGTTCATTATTGAGTCCAAGTAGACATTTGTGCCAATTCTGAGGGACTGAGAAATCTCCTTTACAAGAATGAGATGCATGCAAGGCCACAGTGACCTTGACTTTTGACCACCTAATTCTAATAAGTTTATTCTTCAGTCCAAGAGGACTTTTGTGCCAAATTTGAAGAAATTCCGTCAAGGTGCGCTTGAGATATTATGTTCCCAAGAATGAGACAAACCCGGTCACAGTGTCCTTAAACTTTGACCTACGACCACCAAAATATAATCAGTTCATCATTGAGTCCAAGTGGACGTTTGTGCCAAACTTCAAGAAATTCCCACAGGGGTTTTTAAGATAATGTATTCCCAAGAATGAGATGGGCGCAAGGTTACAGCTGCCTTGACCTCTGACCACTAAAACAGATCGTTCATCATTAGGTCCAAGTGAGTGTTTGTGCCACATTTGAAGAAATGCCTTTAAGGTGTTCTTGAGATATTGTGTTCAGGAGAATGAAACGGACATACAAACAACATGAAAACATAACGTCTCTGGACACAGCTATCACCAGTGTGCAGACATAAAAATAAAACAAGACAAAAAAATAACAACAGAAAACCTGACGTTTGCTTCGACTCTCAGTTCTTTTAAAACGGAGCTGAAAACATTTGACATTGAATCAAATACGGCTCTTTGTGTTTACAACTTTCATCTCTTCATTCATCCTGTTTAATTTATTACAATTTTGCTCTAAAATCTTGTTCATATCTCTCTTTTTATGTCCTTGTATCTCTTGTTTATCAGATTCAAAATGGAGGACTGTAGGATGGCTGAAATGAAGGAATCATTTTGCAGAACTCTTCCGTTATCACGCAGTGAGATAAAATAAGAACAACCTTGTTTTTCTGTTGAAAACCAGTGGCTTTAAAAATATAACCATTTTTAATTATTTCTAATGGTGAGTAGGAAAGTGTTGACAGTTTGTTTGCAGTGAATCTCTCCATACTTGAAACAAGTGATTCCAGATTTTCAGTGCAGGTGTAACTTTTACCTCACATTTCCTCTGTGTCTCCGTCTCTGTGTCTGTCCCCCCCCCCACTGTGTCTCCCCCTCTTTGTTCCCGGTTCAGACGGCAGCGTTTGATGAAGTGACGATGAAACGACTTCCCCTCCTCTCCCCTGCAGTGAATCTTTCCTCAGAGACTCTGTCACTCAGAGTTATTCAGCGGTGAAATAGAAGCACCACCGTCCCCTTTCTCTGTTTCAGCCTCCTGACTCAGGAAGTATCAGTCAGATGCACACCAATACGCATCAGGCCGATAGAAACAGAAGACTGGTCCTCTGTGTGTCGTCAAAATGATGTGGTTTGACTGATGGAACATTTATTGATCAGTAAAGCTCCTGCAGACTGAGCTGATCTCTGAAGAGACGTGTCGATCAGACAGTAAACAACCACAGCACAAAAATGTATTGTCTTTTGCTCTCTGACAAGAACAAAAGTAGAATTACCACCTCGTTGTTGTCTGACTCCGCCCACCAGTCCACCCTGTGGTTGTATGACTCCGCCCACCAATCCACCCTGTGGTTGTATGACTCCGCCCACCAGTCCACCCTGTGGTTGTATGACTCCGCCCACCAGTCCACCCTGTGGTTGTATGACTCCGCCCACCAGTCCACTGTCTCTGACAGTCTCCATCCATGTCAGTGAAAACATGGATGCTTCCCACACAGAAGATCTATACAATCAGCACAGTTTCACTGACCAAAAACGTGTTGTGAGGTCACAGTGACCTTGACCTTCAGCTACTAAATTCTAATCAGTTCATTCTTGAGTTCAAGCGACGTTTGCGCCAAGTTTGGGCAAAGTCCCACAAGGTGTTCTTTAGATATAATGTTCATGACAATGCAATGGATGGGGTCACAGTGACCTTGAGCTTTGACTATGAAATCTTAATCAGTTCATTTGTGACTCAAAGTGGGTGTTCTTGAAGAAATATCTGAAGAAATTACCTTGAGGTATTCTTGAGATATCTGGTTAACAAGACAGATGCAAGGTTACAATGATCTTGACCTTTGACCTCTGACCATCAATATTTTATTTGTGCCACATTTGAGGCAGTCCCACAAGGTGTTCCTTAATGCTTCCAATCAGAGTTGTCGCCTACGCAGAGGCATAAAAATAAAAAATTTGAATACTCAACCATTCTCTTGAGGCAACTTGATTTGGTTATTTTAATTGTATTAACAACAAAATCTGATTCTTTGGATCATACTTTCTCCTGTCTTTCCAAATTCAGACTCTGTGATGACTGTTAGCTCTGAGCTAAATGTTTATATCACAGTAACAGGTGTCAAACTAATGTCAAGTTTTATGGTATTAAACATTTTTAAAGCCGATTCCTGACAGTTTGTTGATAAATTTTTCTCCTAATGATCCTTGACTGGATGTTATAGTTTGCTGATGTTATCTTAGTTTTTAATTTCCATTTTCATCCGCTGCCCCACTGCAGAGGCCAAACTGCCGATCCATTTAGCTTTTCATAATACGAGTTCTGTTCTGTAGTCTAGATGTTTTCTAACACTTTGTTAAAGATCATCTAGCTGCATGTTATCTTTGATTAAATGTTTTCTTGTTAACAAAAACGTGACACTGACATGAGGACGAAACGAGAGGGGAGAAAGAAAACAGAAGAAGAAGAACTGAAAGAGAAACACTGATTTGTAGGAGCGATAAATAAACAGAGGAAGAAGACGACAAACAAACTTCCTGCTGAGAAATGAAGTCGGGACACAGAGGAAATGAAGAACCACTTTAACAAAGAACCAACAAACTCCACACGTTTTTGTTTTTCTATTTGTGTTGATGTGTTTGTGTCCTCTGTTTCATTATGTCGGTGACTCGTGCTCAGACTGAGGTCTGATGTTCATGTGTCTCATGCTCTCACATTTTCTTCTATACGTTCAATGTAAAGCACTTTGAGTTTATCTGTGACGAAATGTGCTACATAAATTAAACTGTCATTGCCATCGATCTGCAACAACAACAACAACAACAACAACAACAACAACAACAACACAACTTCCTACCTCTACAGACGGGGTCTTCTGTGTGAACATGTCGTCAGTGGATGTCAGGACTTTCATCGTGGCTTTCTGGATCAGATCAAAACCACTTCCCTCCACCACAATCCTCCGCCCACCGCTACACACACACACACACACACACACACACACACACACACACACACACAGTTGTAAATTAATTGAAGCACATGTATTTATCAGCAAAACTTTCACCAACATCATGAAATCACAGCTGATCAAACTGAGTGACGACAGACGGAGACGTTTTTGTTTTCATCAAATCTTCTCTGACAGCAGATTTAAAGTTAAAGTGTGTTTGACCTTCGCAGAGTGAACACACACACACTGGAAGTTTCAATATTTGATCTGCCTACGACACAAAAACACTTCACACAGAGTGCTTTACTTTTCTGTTTTTGTTCTGCTCATGAACAGTATTTTACTTCTGTCCGACATAAAGCAGCTCACTCACCATATGAAGCTGTCTTTGGGGTAGTAATCTGTGATCTTGGGGTTTTCGGAGTACTGGTACGCAGCTGTCACGTCCTTGGTGGTGTTTTTACCGTATGTCACCTTCACCGTTAACGGGTCAGAGGGGACCTTCTGCCCTCGGTACCTCCCGGTCTTACAGGTGATCTCTTCGCCAAACTCCAGGCTGAGGAGGACAGAGGAAGACTTTTAAATGACCTTCAGAAAACACACGTAAACATGTGAGACACTGTGTCAACAGGTGTTTCTTACACTTCACAGGGGACTCCTCCCACACTGACGGACACGTCCTCTTTAGAGGCCGTGTCCAGGTCTTCTCCTTTGATGGTGATGACGGTTCCTCCGGCTGCTGGACCCCTCGCGGGCTGGACAGAGACTGGTTTGGGGTCCTGGACAGAGACGATGATAAATGAGCTGTTTGTTCTTGAAAGGTGAGAACATGGACTCATGGGTCACTCTGAAGCTCAGAGAGGAGACCTTTGACCTTGAACCACAAAATTAAAATCAGTGTATTCTCAAGTCCAAGTGAACAAAATTCCCTTATGGTGTGCTTGAGATATTGTGTTCAAGAAAATGAGACAGATTTAAGGTCACATTGACCTTGACCTTTGACCACTGAAATCCACTCATTTCATTGTTGAGTCCAAGAGAACGTTTGTGCCAAATGTGAAACTAATATTGAGTCTGTCTTGACCTTCTCTCTTCTCTGCTGGTTTGGGAATCTCAACATCAGATCCAAACATGCACTAAATAGCATTGTGAAAACGAGAAGCAAGATCTGGGGAGTTCTGCAGGGTACGTTATCTGGACTGTTTTATAAACAGATAGTAAGGAAGGCTAAAGCCGTCGTTTCTGACAGCTCCCACTCCCTTTTCTCAGGCTGTCAGTTTTTGCCTTCTGGCTCTCGGCTCAGATTTTTCTCCCCCCGTTAAGAGTAACGGAAACAAGCACTCCTTCATTCCTACGGCTACTTCTCTTTTGAATGCAGGGCAGTGGAAGAGTCTGACTCAGTACTGAGGAGAGTCTAGGCTGGTTGTTACTCTCGTTATGATCATGGATCATTGTTGTTTTTAACCTCTGTGAGGCACTTTGTGTTACTGTCATATGAAAAGTGCCATATAAATAAAGTTGATTTGATTTGATTTGATGTGACGAGTCACGATGTTGTTGATGTTGATATTTGTGATTGTTGTTGATGGCCACTGTATTTGGTTCCCCTCTTCTCCCCCTGATTGCATGTTTTTGTAATACATGTTTTAACTTGCTGTGCAACTAATTGCCCTCTAGGGACAAGGTAAAGTTGAAGTTGAAGTTGTTCCTGAGACATCACGTACACGAGAATGAGAGAGATTCAAGGTCACAGTGACCTTGACGTTTGACCACCAAAATCTAATCATTTCAGCCTCGAGTCAAAGTCAACCTTTGTTCCAAATTTGAAGACAATACCTCAAGGTGTTCTTGAGATATCACGTTCACAAGAAGAGAGATACAAGGTCACAGTGACCTTGACCTGGACAACCTAAAAACCTAACACTTCCCGGTGTCGCCGTCCTCGAGGCACAAAAACTCTTGTTTAAGTTTCAGCGGTGTCAGTGCGTCCAACACTTCCAGATAAAGTTTGTGCCTCGTTGACTTATTTTCCTCAGTCTTACTTAATGAAGACTTGTAATTAGTTTTCAGAGCGTCTCGTACCGTCTGTGTTGCTGCTCAAGAGACTTTTTTATTTTCAGACTGAAACACTTTGGCATGAAGATAATCACATTCAAGAACAAAAACAGCCCGGGCTCCGTCAGGCTGAATGTCACAGACGGACAAAACAGCAACAAAGAGAAAAATAAAACCAGACGTAACCATTAAAGTTTAACGGCGCAGAGTTCATTACGTTCCAGCTGCAGGTGAAAACACTTTCATCACATCAAACCTAAATATGTTTTAAAGCTGAAGGAGTCCCGTGGTATTCAGGCAGCGTGCCGGAACTGAAAACAAACACAGGACTGCACGGGGAGTATTTGAGAAATATTGATAAAGACGACGGCGGCCGCTGAAGCACACCAGCTGGTTGGTTTCCTGTTTGTTCTGGAAGGTTCTTCGCTCTGCCAACAGCGTGACAAACAAAACAGGAGCGGATATTAATTCTTCGGCTACACCGGAGGATAAAGAGCCTTCGGAAACTTAAGAAGTCAATCTGTCTGGAGAATTAAGACACAGCAGCCGAGCGCAGGGTGTGAAACAAGTTGTTTGTGCTTGTTTGGGAGCTAAAATTAATAAATAAATAAACAAACAAAGGTGTAAATGTGAAATAACACAGCGGCGCAGCACAGGAGAGTGTGTGTCATGCAGCTGCTGAGATGTACCGGAGCATTTGGTTTGTTGGTGTTTCAGATTTGTTCTCGCTGTTCCTGCAGACAGACTGAATCTCCCTGAAGAGAGACAAACTCACAACAGCAGCTCCGCCTGGCTCAAGTTTTATACAAACAACACAACAACACAGGAAGCAGCACTTACTCAGATATATTCAGTCTGAAGACACAGACAGAAACAAGACATTCAAACTAAGCGTGGGCTGTATGACGGTGTTACAGTATGCCAAAGAAAGCTTGTTGTCAGGGGGGTCAAAGGGCACAGATGACCCGGCCCGAGGCCAAGGAGGTGAACTATGTAAAGGTCTGTGGTTTAAATGGGATCAAGCAACAATTTACCTACTGACTTAAAGAACTGACAATACAAGCCTTTTACCTTTGACCACAAAATTTAAATAAATCCATCCTTGAGTCCAAGTGGACGTTTGTGTCAAATTTGAGGAAATTCCTTCATGACGTTCTTGAGATATCTTGTTCACAAGGATGAAATGGACATGAGGCAACCGTGACCTTGGACCGCCAAATTCTAAGTGGTTCATCCTAAACGTGGACGTTTGTGCCGAATTTGAAGTACAAACTTGTATGTAGCCTCGGCGATCAGTGTATGAATGTGTGTGTGAACGGGTGAATGTGACTCGTAGTGTAAAAAGCGCTTTGAGTGGTCGGATGACTTGAAAGGTGCTATACAAAAGCAGGTCCATTTCTCATTTACCATTACAACTGAACAGCGTCAAGATGGTCTTCTAGGTCCCTTTTTAAATGACATGACCGCCACCTGCTGGTATGAAGCAGTATTTCCTCTCCTGCAGGAGCAGAACACTTGTCTGGTTTGGTGTGGCCAAACACAGCGGCGTGAAGTGAGGGCACTCTGGACGCCGCTAGTTCCCTGACGTCAGTTTGGAGTGTCTGGGACTTGACAGGTTAAAATTGGAGATTGCCACCTGACAGATTTTCTGTTAACTTATCGACTAATTGTTTCAGACTCTGGGCTGTAACAACAGTATCAAACTACCTGCAGTGTCTCTTTAAATGACCTGAGAGTGTTACCGAGGCAGGAGCAAAATGTTTTTGTGCGTTACACTAATATAAAGAAGTGATTACATTATTGAGGCGGGTCTGCCTGTTTCTGTAGCGCTGCTTTAATGTTTCTGTTTTGACAGCCACAGAAACAAATAATCTCCGAGGGAAGTTTAAAGTTTACCGTGGGAGACAAACTGCTGCTGAAGTAAATGAGTCATTCTGGTCTCAGCAGTTTGCTTTAATTGGCTCTTTGTCAGCCCGACAGAAATATGAAAGTGAACAACAACATTTAAATGGAACCACTGAGCCTAGTTAGAGGAAGCAAACAGAACAGCAGGTGAAGCTGATTTATTGTGATCAGATTTGTTTCTCTGTTTGCAGCGAGAACACAGTTTGGGTGAATTTGTATGCGCTGGATATTTTTACGCCTGGCTGCATCTTCAGGGAGCTCCACACCAGAGGAAAGCTGCGTGTTAGAGACCTTTGAATGTTTGTGGGATTTGATCTCCGGGGTTTGAAGTGTCACACAGTGTTCTGTATTGCCTCAGAAACTTTGCTGCGGAGTGTACACTGGGGTGTGTCTGCAGGTTTCAGGAGGGCACGTTTAACTATTTTTTTAAAAGGCTTCCTGCAGGTGAACACAGATGCAAATTCAGAGACAAAGCTGCTGGATTTATGGCAGAGAGGCAGTGAATGCATCAAACTACTGTACAGACAGAGCGCTAAACACCTGGAAATAACATGTTCAGAGCACTTAAGTCTGGGTTTAGTAAAGCAGATAGGATGCATGTTGTTGCTGTATATAGAGACGTCCTGTGGAGTTTTCACAGCATGAAGCCAGGAGGCAGGAATGTGTATCACAACATCTGCGTGCATGATGCAAGCAAAATGTGGAACTACTCAGAAAAACATGGCTTCATAACGCTACTTCCTGTTTCCATCCATGTCAGTGAAAACATGGATGCTTCACACACAGAAGATCTATACAATCAGCACAGTTTCAAGATTAGAGTCACCAATTCAGTATCTGACCAAATGTCTCCCCTTCTGTTCCTGAGATATGACGTTAAAACATGATGATGTCACAGTCAAGCTGACCTTTGACCTTTTGACCTTCATTATTTTATCCTGTTAGACATTTGTGTCAAGTTTGGTCAGAATTAGTGTATTATTGTGTTATGACCAAAAATATGTTTTGCGAGGTCACCTTTTGCCTTTGACCACAAAATTTAAATTAATTCATCCTTGAGTCCAAGTGGACATTTGTGCCAAATTTGAAGAAATTCCCTCAAGGTATTCTTTTGATATCATGTTCACAAGAATGAGACATATGAGGTTGCATAGACCTCTACCTTTGACCTCTGATGACTGAAATCTAATCATTTCATCGTTAAATCTAAGTGAATGTTTGTGCCAAATTTGAAGAAATTCCCTAAAGCTGTTCTTGAGATGTCATGTTCACACGAATGAGACCGATGCAACTTCACACAGAACTTTGACCTTCAACCAAAAAATTCAAATCAGTTTATTCTTCAGCCCAAGTGGATGTTTGTGCCAAATGTTTGAAGAAATTTCCTCAAGGTATTCCAGTAGATATCATGTTCACAATATTGAGACAGGTGAGGCCACAGTGACCTTGACCTTTGACCACCAAAATCCAATTAGTTCATCTTTTAGTCCTCGTGGACATTTGTGCCAAATTTGAAGAAATTTCCTTGAGACATAAAAACATTTAAGACTCATCTAATCTGAGTTTAAGATCATTTAATACTTTTTAAGGCCTTTTAGTGTTTTAGCCGTCTTCAGTGCAGTGTTTGAGGCTGAGACATGTTTGAGGCTGAGACATGTTTGAGGCTGAGAGGTGTTTGAGGCTGAGAGGTCTTTGAGGCTGAGACGTACCCGATAGGTGAAAAAGACCTGAGACCTTCCTGTCCTCCCTCCGTCTACCTCCACCTCCACCGCTCCGCTGTTGGACGGTTCAAATGGGAGGTCAGACGGCGGGACTTTCCTGGCCGGGCCGATCTCACACACCACGCTGTGGACAGGAAGAGACGTTCAATAAATACAACTTCTTCTCTGTGTTGAATACTGTGTCTGACAGCTTTCCTGTCCAGTGAAAAGCACGTATCTCCCAATTAGTTGCTGTTTGTGATAAACTGAAGCTGTTCTTTTATGTGTATCTGTAAAACCCTCCTGATCAGCTGAGTGTGTCTGCAGCAGTGACATCACATTCAGAGAGGAGGTCTCCAGGTGTTTGCAGTCATTAATTACTGTCAGAGGTTCATGTAACGAGCTTCACCTCCACTTGTCGAGACAACACAAGGTCTCCTGTCTGTATGTTGATGTAGCTGCTGTCATCGTGGTGTTTACCTGGTGGAGACGGAGTATCTGTCCGCCTGGTGGACACAGTCCACTCCGGCCACTGTGATCCTCTTGACGTCCTCTTTCTTTATTCCCATGTTGGAGCCTTTGATGGTGACGGAGATGTGACCGTTCAGAGGGCCGAAGCGAGGGACGATCTGCAGAGAGGAGACAGTGAGACATAAATATTTCTAACTTTATCAAAGCCTGTGTGGACCCGTCTGTGTTTGTCTTTATTAGCTGTTTATTATTTCTAACTGGGAAACTTTGGTGTGTTCATGTGCAACTTTTTGGCCGATACATGGTCGTGAGGCGACGCAGCAGGGGACTCTCATCACCACTAGTTCTCTGACGTCAGTTTGGAGTGTCTGGTCCTTGACAGGCTAAAACTGGAGATTGCCACCTGACAGATTTTCTGTCAGTTGACTGATTAATTGTTTCAGACTCAGCCTGGGCAACAACACTGGATTGTGTTGTTAATGTGCTAACTGGCTAACTAGCATCAAGACGCTGCTGTGGAGAGTTATTTCCTGTCACAAAGGCGCAGAACGCATGTGCTGGTTGGCCGTCAGCTGTAGTGGGTTTATTAACAGGTGTGGGCGGGTGTGGCTTTGACTTAAAGTTTCTTTATGCTTCTGCGTACACTCGACGCAACGTGCACGCAGTTGCTCTGCAGTTGCTGTGTGCCTATCATAGTTCTGCGTCCAGTTGGTCTCTGTCGCTATGCAATTCCTCGCCAAAGCGCTTGGGGGCGCTGTGTTCTTTTGTAGACCTACCTAGACTCTGTGACGTCTATGGTCGTTGCTCGTTCATTGTTTGTTTATCTTCCGGCTTTGCTCTAGTCACAGTGAAGATGGTGACCGAGAGAGAAAGACTGTTGCTGGAGCTCGAAATGATCGACACTGAACAACAAATGCTCTTATTACAAATGTTACGATGACGACAAAGAGAGAGGCGACTGTGCTGATGGTCTGTACCGCCGCTGGATGGCTCAAGGCAGACTACGGGCGAATATGTGAGGCAGCAGCAGGAAGTGAAACCTAGTGAAATGCCGGCAGTGATGTAGTTTGAAGGACCAATCATAGCTCTTGTGGTCTGCGTTGGGTCTGCGTTGCCTTGACGCGTGGTTAAAATTTTTTGGAGGTCCACGTCGCATCTCTGCGTCAGTCGCAGAGGGACGCAACGCCTCTGCAAAGCCCTCTGCATCGTAGGTACGCAGAAGCATAAACCTTGCTTTAGACATAATGACAGGTAACAGGTCGGGTCGGGTACTGAGCTTTACGGGTATGGGCAGGTGTGAGTTTTCAAAAATAGACCTGTGCAGGACTCAAACCATCAGGAAATGTTTCTGCTAAAGAGAAAAATAATCGGACCTTCTGGAGCAAGTTGGTTTTGGTCTCACTCACTCTGGACTTTAGCTCCTCCTTTACTCACTGACATTTCTCATCTCATCACCTGAACTGAACTGACAATCAGAGGGATTTCATCCACTGACAGGCTCCGTCTTCACCAAAGCCGATTGGACATGCTGCACTGGCCAAAATAAACAAGCCGACGAGGGCAAACACAAAAACCACACCACAAAAACTAAGGTGACGGATGCTCACTGACCGACGGCCGACTATTGGCTTGTTGTGTCGGGGCCTTCAAGGAAACGTTTGTAGTGATGTATTTCTTTAGTAGTTCACTCATCGACGGCTCTGCCATCGGCACTTTAACACGCTGAAAAAAGATCTGAATTTTTCAGAAACAGAGTTTGATATACGACACGCCAAGGCTGCAATTTGTAGTTTTGTTGTTGTTTCTTGAGATGTGCGATATGGGCTGATAAGGATCTTGTGTTATGCTTTGTTGTCTTCAAGTTTAATTTTAACAAGATCTAAGGATTAATATCGACTACAGGAGCTTCTTTTCATCTCACTAGTTAAAACTCTCGCCACTAAAAGCTCAACGTGCTGAAGCGGAAATAATCAGCAACAACTCTTGACCTCATCAGCCGCTGCCCCCGAAGGAATATCGAGTTGAAACAAATGACTGATGTTCCAGAGGAAATATGAAACAAATTGAAAAAGGAGCCAAACTGTGAATAAAACATGGAGGGAGAGGAAATGAAATGTCACACTGAGGAGGAGAGGCGATTGATTGAGAAATTGTCTGTTTGTGAAAAGCTGTATGGATTCTGAGAATGTAGAATTTGATCTAACGAGGGAGACGAGTTGTTAAAATGAATGTGGAAAAGATAGAAATGAGAGAATTAATGGAGCCGATTATCCGAACAGATGGAGAGACTGTATTCATTCTTTGTTCATCCCTGGAGTGCAGCTCCTCTTCTTCTTCTTCTGCACAACACAAAGAGTGTGTTTCATAAAGCAGCTAAAGGTGAAAATATTCACCCTGTGTCACTTTGTCAGTCTACCTGCGTGTGCACACAGTAAATGTCTGCATAATATTTTTATAGATATATTTTTATAGAGATATTACTCAGGAGTTAAACAGCTTTTTAGAAATTCTGTGTTTGAAGGAGATTTCCCAAAGTGGCAGATAAAGCACAGGAGATAAAAGTGAGTATAACCTCATTTAAAGTCTCACTGCTAATGATGATTCGTTGCACTAATGGAATTAAAACATTAGTAATGCTAAAGGAAATATTCTGGGAATTATCAGCCCAGATTTATACAGACAGTTTCGCTGTTAGTAAACACTTGCTCCTTTTACACTGCCAGATGTTCCGCGAATGTTGGGCTGTTTTGCCGGCGAGCTGCGAGCGTTTAGACACACAGAGCCGGATTGGCGAGTTGATCCAAGGTGCCCAATTTTCCTCCTCGTAAGGTAGACATATTGGTGGAACCCTTTTAGTTTAAACAGACCAAGGCGGCGTTCCGGTTGTTGATGACTTGTGGGAGGAGCTGTTGATGACACCGCACGTGCGACCCACTGGCGGTGGATAAACAGGAAACAGCTGATAGCAGGAATTAGCGAGCAGCTAGTAGCAAGAGGGAAACACAAACCTGACAGACACTGTAAAGATGAGCAACTGGGGAGACAAGGAATTGCGCGCCCTCCTTGTCCTCGCAAACGAAGAGGCCATTAACCGTCAGATGACGGGGACGGTGAAGAACGGGCCGACTTACGAGAGAATCACCGAAGGACTGACCAGCCGCGGCTTCCCTCCCACGTCACTGTTTACGTCACACGCTGAGCTACACATTTTGTTACTTGCTCACGCCCCCCATTGCCCCGAAAAAGGCGCATTCTGTATAAACAAAAGTAGGTAGGCGGCATTTTGCTGCACTCCCCGATTTTGTTTTTATACTGCCAATGCTGAAAAAACACTGATTGGGCTTTCCGGCAAATTTGCACAACTCCTGTTTAAAAAGGGTAGTATGATGTTTTGTGGTGGGCGGGGCTTAGCTGGAGGCAAAACAGTTCTCCACAGACATTAGCTAGCGCTAGCTAACAAGTTGTGTTGTCTTGTTTTAGACGATGGAGGAAGATGATGTGAGTGGTGCGTTCAGAAACACTCATTGTGAGTGTGGGAGCGCACTCTGACACAAACTGGAGCGTTGATAAATTGGGAGCGCTGTCTGAATGTAGCGTTGGGTTATCCAGAGCAGCGCACTCTCAGAGTGGCAGAGCGCACTCTGGACACTCTGTCTGTGGAGACGGAGCAGCAGAGCGCCGAGAGAAGTGAATGTGTGATTAACTTAACCGTTGGTTCATTCATGTAGAAATATAACGCTGCGTTTCTTCCACCAACAGGGCTCTCATTTTAGTGTAGAGCGTCAGACTGAATTTACCAACGCACCATGTCAGGTCACTCACTCTCCGGGACCGCCAGTGTTACTAGAATAAGTAAACACTGACCAACGGGACCAGACTGGCCGACCCGTATGCAAGTTTATGGAAATCTGACCAGTAGTTTCTGTGGTTTGTGGACTAGAGTGATGGTCCAAGTTTAGAAATTTTGCCGTGATGGTGGCTTGAAACTCAACACACTTCATCCTCTGGAGACCTTGAATACGCACATTGAGTTTATTGTTAGTCAAGACCTTTTATGGACCAAACTTCAACTGATCGGGGGAAAATGTGACCTGATAATGTTTGCAAATTATTAAGATTGACCCTCTGAGGACCAAGAATATCGAAAGCCAATTTCATATGAACCTGACCACTATTTTCGGAGACACCTCTTCATGGACCAAATTGTTGCTCAAGCAGTAATTCGGAAAACCTTCAGGATTCACCCTCTGGGGACCATGAGTATTTATATCTGTGTCTGGACCAAAGTTTTGGACTCACTGCAGCTCTCAGTGTGAAACCAGCCTCCTACAGTTAGTTACTGTCGGTTATTCTGTTTGTTGGATTCATCAAACACAATGTGATTGACTCACAGATATGAAATCGTCCTCGGTCATCCATATGATTGCTTCCTTGTGTTTCTCTTCCCCGTCACTGCAGCACATTTCAGACAGTTCCTCTTCACTTATTCCTTTCAAATCATCGGATGCAATTTGCCATTGTGCTTTTTCATTTTTTCTTAAGACAGGAAGATACACTTCAGACGTGATTTATGTCACAGGGTTGTCTGGTGCTCTGTAACAACCAGGAGGGAAAATGCAATATAGTGGATGTGTTAAAGGTGCAGCTCACAGAGCGTCCCCTGGATCTCCTCACATCTCTGCTCTGTCTTTTAAATGACACAATCAGATCACAGCTCTACCAAACTTTGTGGGGACACTCTGCTACGATGCAGATCATAAATGGAACATGCTGCAGGGACATTTCAGTCCTGACACCTCTGATATGATGAAACTATTTTCTGTGGAGTTTGCAATAGTTTGAATAATGTTGTCCTTGTTTGTTGCTGCAGAAATAAACAGTCACTTTAGGGCTGTTTTAGTTTTTGTGTCCAGCGTGGAGACTTGATCACATGACACATTGTTTGGGTTAAACATGAGCATGTTACAGTCCTGGAGGATTATTAATGTGCACCTCCTCCTGTACTGCCTTAATATGCACATTCAGCACATCCAATGCATCAAAACATTGTTTTCTAGTTGGAGCCGCGCCTCGTTTTCAAACTGTATGATTTGACTAAAATGAACAATGACAGCAATATAGTCCACGATGAGCAGCGCTAAAATCAACCTGCGTAGTTGTCCCTCCATTGTGACATTAAAAAGTGTCACATTTATCTTGCAAGTGTACTCTTCTTCAACGTTTGCTTTACTTCCTGGATTTTTCCCACATGGAAATTCTGACCAATCAAGAGCAGCTTTCTCACACGAGGCATTTGATCTGGTCCTCTTGTAAATGCTGCCGTGAGAACATGAACCAACTCTAGGCAATTATAGAACTTTTTCCTGTTTGACATTTCTGTGCACTGCTGTAAGAATTAGAGTTTGAATTCTTGAGTAGTTTGTGAGGTCACAGTGACCTTTGACCTTCGACCACAATATTCTGATCAGTTTATTCTTCAGTCCAAGTGGACGTTTGTGTTGAATTTTAAGAAATTTTAAGAAAAGGTGTTCTTGAGATATCAATTTCAAAATTAAAGCTGCAAGCAGCGTTGGGCGGGACCTCGGACTCACGCCGTGTTGGCCTCCAGCTCACATAGACAGTTAAAGACAAAAGTTTTAGACGATTTTAGACCCCTCTCCACTCTAGCTCACAGCTGACAATTTCTCCACATTTGCTCATGTTACTTTCAGAGGCACTAGCTCACTTCCTGTTGGATTTAGGTCAGGGGTGTCAGTGTATGATTTGTAGGTCTTGATGAGACAAACAAGCCAGTTTTGGTTTGATCTTTCTACGATATTCCTACGGGCGGCAGTGGCCATTTGCACACCAATGGGGCCCCATGTCATGCAGTAGGTAGAAACATCCTAAGACTGTCGTTGAGAGGGAGAGAAAAACTGTGAGAGACCAGGCAGATGGAGGTGGCTTTAAAATGTCTCCAACTCCTCCCTTTTATTCCCAAACCGTACGTCCAATCGTCAATCTGATCATACCAGCAAAGAGATACACTCGTCCCGAAAGCAGACATATAGTTTTTATGTTTGTGGAGTCAAAAATGTGATCTTGGTCGCAAGTTTCAGATGTCTAGCTCACAGATAACAATTTCTCCACATTTGCTCGTCGATGAGACAAACAAGCAGGTTTTGGTTTGATCTTTCTACGACATTCCTACGGGCCGCTGCGGCCATTTTAGTGTGCCTAGGTGGCGCTAGAGAGTCCATTTTGGCACTTTAAGGGTTATTTTTTTCATTTTATCAAATTTTTCGCCAGTCCGGACATGCATGCTAATTTTGGTGCCTTTGGCTGAGGTCCCTAAAAATTAGGTCACAGTGATCTTGACCTTTGACCTTTGATGGTGACCATCAGACATGTTGTGAGACACACGAGGAAGAGTCCTGTTGATGAAGAGGCGACCCAGTGTCTGATACTGAGAGTGTGTTGTGTTGTTAATAACTCACGTCAGTGATTTGCGGGTCAGGGCACTGAGCCGGCTGTGGTGACGGGCAGAGCTCCCTGTAAACACAGCTGCGTGGCGCTGCGCACCAAACACACTGGTACTTAGAGTCAGCGTGTTTACACAGACTGCAGTCCTCTCTGCCCACAGAGCAGTTATACAGCACCACTGAGGAGGAAGAGGAGGAGGAGGAAGAGGAAGGTGGTTAATTCCAGAGTTAATTATCATAATTCATTTCAAACTGGATTAGAAATGAGAGAAAGTCAAACAGTGTAAAAACTCTGCTTCACACCTCATCTTGATTTGTGTGTGTGTGTGTGTGTGTGTGTGTGTGACACACCAACCTGTCAGCGTGCTGTCAATCTTCCTCTCGGTGTCTCTGTCTTTGATGTGGAACGATACATTGACTTCCTGCTGCTTGTCGTAGGAAAACTACACACACACACACACACACACACACACACACACAGCGTGAGCTTCAGTATTAACGAACCTAAAGGACAAATGGATCATAAACTTTAATATAATGTAAACACAAGGTGTCAGAATCAGAATCAGTGACTGTAACAAAGAGAAGCGACTCACAGTTTAATTGACTCCAATTAACAGCTAATGATTCACTAATTATTCTAATCATCATTAATGACACACTCCCTGAGTGTGTTATAAACGCCTGGAAGCTTCAGATCATACACACACACACACACACACACACACACACACACACACACACACACACACACACACACACACAGCTCAGGGGAACATTTACACACACGGCTTCTTTAAATGGACTCAGCCAGTTTAATGTCGGAGCAGAGGCAGAAACAAACTGCTCTCTGATGCTTTCCTGATTTCAGATCAAAGTTATTTATGTACTGTTAGATAACGTCTGTGTCGATGGGATTTAATTTTCAGCTCCTCTGTGTTCATATTTCTGCCCTTTGACTCGTCTTATTTAAATACTCACATGTTGCTTTTGAGACTTGTCCAGTTACATGTTTTAAGGATTAATATCAAACCTTCAGTGTGCAGGGTTTACTGTCAGAATATACCATCAAACTGATTTTTAACCCGCCTTTCCACCAAACACATTCGGTATAGTACTTTTGGAACCAAAACTAACCCGTCAGACCCTCGCTCCATTCAGCATTTCCACCACAGACAGTCCTCTTAAATGTTGTCGGTAGCATGTCCGTTAAAATATTTATATTTGTGTGCACAAACTGAACAGCTAACTAACGTTAACTCAAATGGGCAACAACCTGGTTTATACATCCAAAGAACAGAGAGAGAGTTACAGCAGTTGAGAACACCACTTTATCCTGTTTAAACAATCCTCACAGCGTGGATTGATTTTTATAAAAAAAACCCTTTTGATCCTTTTGATCTGAGGACTCTTACAGACTGAAGGAGTATGAATAATTTAGCCAACAACCTGTTTTACACATCCAAAAAACTTCTATAAAAATGAACTGTTTGGCAGCCAGACCAGGCCTCTAATTGAGACAGGCCAAGGGACTTTAAAGGTTTTACGGTAATATAATCAACTAGTCCATAACCATTGGTAGCTTTGTCACCTTCTACCTATGCCAATCCTCAATGCCTATGTGCAGTTTCACATAGATTGACCACGTCAGTGAGTAGAAAAACGTGGGACAGACAGAATGACTGACTGACAGAATGACACACTGACAGTTTCCGTGATTATGTACAGCATACCATACCATGACTTAGTCATACCAAACATTAGAAACAACACCAACATTGGTCCACAGGGGGAGCCACAGCGATCGGTCGCATTTTAGCCATTTTGAAGCATTTTTCTGTTGTTATAGCGCCACCCAGTTGCCAATTAGAGTTAAATTTCTCCAGTCACCTTGAGGCGTCCTGTTCTACATATCTACCAAGTTTAGTAAAAATCCATATGGCGGTTAGGCCTAGATAAGAAATGAGCTCTCTAGCGCCCCCATTTTGTTTGATGGGCTCAATAATGGAGGGGTCCCCTCAGATTATGTGTGGTCATATGCCTACAAAGTTGCGTGGTGATGGGTGAAACCCTTGAGATGTTATACACCTTTATGTGATGAGCCACGCCCTCCGCAATATTCATTGCCTTATAGAAGCTCAGTTTTAGTAAGTTTTCCAACTTTTGCCAAGAGGGAACTTTAGATATTGGTCCCTAGATTATGTTCACCCAGTTTCATGCAGATCGCTCAAACTTCCTAGGAAGAGATCCATTTGAAGTGTTTTTCAAAAAATTCAAAATGGCGGAAAATCTATATAAGCGGAAGTTATGGGTTCTTGAGGCAAATGTGTTCCTCATGAGGAGAGGCATCTCTGTGCAAAGTTTCATGTCTCTACCACATACGGGGCATGAGATATGCCCATTCAAAGTTTGACATTTCAATGGGTTGCTATAGCGCCCCCCTTTGGCCAATTGATGTAATATTGCTTCATTGGCATCCTCCCATGACCCTCTACCACTGTGCCAAATTTCACATGGATTGACCAAGTCAGTGAGGAGAAAAACGTGGAACACACACACACACAGAGTTTTCCTCATTATATAGTAAGATGTGTCTTTAAGAGACCTCCTTAGGCATCTCTGACTCTGACCAATCACAGCGTGGAGTTGGTGTAAATGTCTGTAGGTTTTGTAAAGCCACAGAAATAGTCAGAGGCCTCTTCTTCATGTGATGGAGCTGTCCACACTGACAGCTTCAGCGTTTCTGCGTCATTGTGACCGATTAATGAATAATAATGTAAACTGGCATCAACACGGTGTGATGTCAGAAAACTCACTGACCTCATATCCTGGGAACCTGAAGTTGGATCCCTGCTCCTGTTGGACCGTCACCTCTGCGTCCTTCATCAGCTCCGTGCCGATGGAAAACCTCTTTCCCTGGAGACACACAGGGACGTCATTTACAAATATAAAACACAGTAGGTAGCTTATGATGATGATGATGATGATGATGATGCACAGGTGAGGCTGGTCTCACCATGTAGTTGTCCAGGTTCCTCCCCTGGAAGCTGATGGGGATTTGGAAACCCACGGGGATCAGGAGCGGCTGTGGAGACTCAAACTGAGGACAGCTGTCAGGCTGCGGGACAGGAAGTCAGAACTCATTAGTAAAAATAACCATCATCATCTTCATCATCACACAGGAGGAAGAGGTGTGATGAGTTTAATAATCAGAACCAACACATTATAGTTCAGTCCAGCTCTTTAAACGATCAGACGATGGTTGTAGTTTTAATTAAGTACTTTTACTAGAGAACTTCTTGCTCCACTGAACAGTACACACACACACACACACACACACACACACACACACACACACACACCTGTTGTGGTTTGATGATGTGACTTCCTCCCATCACGTCGTCGTTGTCGCTGCAGCTGTGATCCTGAGCGTTCCACTGACAGCCCCACTCACTGGTCACACACGCGATACACCTGAACAACACAACAACACACAAGGCTTACATGTGGGTTTGATTCAGGTGTGTGTGTGTGTGTGTGTGTGTGTGTGTCTTACGGTGTGTTCTGGTTCTTCCTGACTGTAGCAGCACAGTTGTAGAAGTGATACTCTCCACGCGTCACCAAGATGTTGTCGTTCACCAGAACCTTGACCGGAACGGACACGTAGTCTGGACACACACACACACACACACACACACACACACACACACACACACACACACACCAGTGAAAAGTGTTTAAATTCACATGTTCTGCAGCTAAATTATCAGATTTCTTGATGCTGTTTTGAGTAAAAATAAAACATGAGTCTTGTAAACAGTTTTCCAGTCGAACTGAAGGCACAGTCAGTACATCTGTAAAACACCTTTCAACAACACGACAGCTGCCAGAGATTTACACAAGAAACAAGACATGAAAGACAACACACACACAGCGTTACACACAGTGTAATTAAATTTCAAAAGAGAAAAACAAAACAGATTTTAAATTAAACAGATTAAACAGGAGAATTAAAAACAAATGATTGCTCCTAAATTAAACACAAGGCAAACAGTTTGAAGCCTTGATTTTATTTTATTTTATTCTACTGTATTTGATGTTGAGAGAGAGATAAAGACGGGAAGGGCAACGGAGACAGAGGATGGCGTGCAGCAAAGGGCCCTGGACCGGACTTGAACCTGGGCCATCGCAGTAAAGACGAAGGAACGCGCTCTAACCAGGATAAAAATGTCTGAAAAATATTATTAAAAATCTCAAAATACTTTTGATGTCAGAAAAAAATGTTAATAAAATGTCAAAAAATGTAATAAAATGTCAAAAAAAAAAGAAAATAAAAAAATGTAAAAAAATAAAAATAAATAAAATGTAAAACAAATAATAAAATGTCAAAAAAATTAATAAAACGTCAAAAAAACGTGTATATTGTAAAAAAAAAAATAATGTGAAACAAAACTGAAANAAAATAAAAAAATGTAAAAAAAAATAAATAAATAAAATGTAAAACAAATAATAAAATGTCAAAAAAATTAATAAAATGTCAAAAAAACGTGTAAATTGTAAAAAAAAAAATAATGTGAAACAAAACTGAAAATGTAAATGTAAAATGTAAAATGTAAAAAAAATCAATAAAATGTCCCCAAAAATGTCAAAAAAAGTTAATCAAATTTTCAATTTTTTTTAATAATGTATCAAAAAAATTAAAATGTCCAAAAATTAAAAAAAAATTTCAAAATTTTTTGTAAAATGTAAAAAAAATAACATGAAAAAAATTGATAAAATGTAAAATAATAATAATAATAAAATGTCCCCAAAAAAATTAGAACATGTCAAAAAAAAGTTCATCAAATGTCCAAATGTTTTTATAATATATCAAAAAAAATTAATAAAATATCCAAAAAAAATTGTGAAATGTAAAAAAATAATGTGAAAAAAAATCAATAAAATGTCCCCAAAAAAATAAATAAAATGTCAAAATAGTTCATCAAATGTCCAAAAAAAATTAATAATGTATAAAAAAAATTAATAAAATGTCCAAAAAATTAAAAAAAATGTCCCAAAAAATTTGTAAAATGTAAAAAAAACAATAACATGAAAAAATGTATAAAATGTCAAAAAAAGTTAATCAAATTTTCAAAAAAATTTAATAATGTATCAAAAAAATTAATAAAATGTCCCAAAAAAATGTAATAAAATGTAAAAAAAAAAAAAAGAAATTAATAAACTGTCTCCAAAAAATATGAAAACCTCCAGCTTCCAGGATTCCTCTGAGCCTTAATTTGAAAGAACTGAGACTTGGAGCAAACCTCAAGTTCAGAGGCGCAGATCAGGAATCTATTTTGTCCACAAACTCTTTAGACTTTAGAGCATTTTAAAATCAATTCTTTCACACAGGAAGCAGGAAGAACATGGTAATGCCGCCTGCAACATGGAACTCCAGAGTCAAATGAAACCAAGCATGACTCCACAGGAAAAGTCCACATATTTAGAAACACTTCCTGTACAGTAAGAGACACCTACCCTGCTGGTCAGGAGTGGGCGGGATCTCCGAGGGGTCGGGCAGCGCACAGGTAACCAGCACCTGACCGTTGACTTCATTCACCACGGCTCCGCTGACAGAAGTACCGAACTCACACTGCAGTCTGTCCGTGATGGTCAGTGCGGGGAGGGTCGGGATGTTGATGTCCACCTGCAGGAGAGTGAGGAAGAGGAGGGAGGTTAGAGGAGGAGGAAGACGAGTCACAGAGAGAAGAAGGAGAATACAGACGTCGTTACTTTCAGCTCACACCTCGACTGGCTGCTGTCACATGAACTGAAAGTGTTTCCTGCGTCTGCGAGTGTGACACCGAGACACCGTCACTGAGACAAGAACAAGAATTATTTAATCTTTTTTAATAATATCAAGAAAATCCAAAACCAACAGCAGCTGTTTCCTGCTGACGAGTACTGAGTTAGATTTTACATTTTTATCACACTACATGTTATGGAGTCATAGCAGTGCCAAAATAAAGAATAAAAGAAAAAGATTAAAAGATTTTTTAATCTAAAATACTAAAAAAAAATAATTGTGGATATACGCAGAGAATTTAATAAAAAAAAAAATAAAACAATACATTAAAAAAATTGGAAAAAAGAAAATAAAAATTTAAAGTGAATAAAAATATGAAAATCTACAGAGTAATAAATAAAATAATATATACATAGTAAATAATATATACAGAGGAAAAAATAACAAAATGCAAAAGATGGAAATATAAAGAGAAACAAATTAAATAATAAAGAAGTTCCTCTTCATAATCCCATATTTATTTTCTTTTGGCTCTCCTATGACTCCATATTTATCACACTACATGTTACCTCACAGTGTTTCACCAATATATATTAGAATTAAGCACATTTTCAGGAGATTCGATCACTTATAGATAAAAACAGACAGAAATATCTATTTCTGGCGACTTTTGTCGGATCAATTAAACAGCTGACAACGTGCTTCATCACACAGATGCAAATATCTTGTAAATCCAATAAAGCCACAAAGCAGTCCGTCTTATTGAACACCGGCCACAACGACCTGAGACCATCAGGGGTAACACAGGGTTCCCTCACAATGAGCTGTTTATATCTACACAGGCAGCAGGTCCTCGTCTGCAGAGATCACCATGTTGCACCGCCGTGTTTCTACAGTAGCCCAGAACGGACAAACCAAACACTGACTCTAGATAGAGACGTTCATGTGTTCATGTCGGCCACCATAGTTGACAAAACCTCTGTGACGAGCAGCGTCAGAGAAACGCTGGTTTGTAACATGAAACATCTTGATTCAGAGTGTTTCCTGGTGTAACTCAGAGCGTGAGGGAGAAAGCAGAGTGTGTGTGTGTGTGTGTGTGTGTGTGTGCGTGCGTGTGTGTGTGTGTGTGTGTGTGTGCAACAAAGAGATGTGTGTGTAAGTTAGAGAGAAGAAGTAAGAATTTAAATCCATCTGGCTGACCTTGATAAATTGTGCATACGCCTGTGTGTGTGTGTGTGTGTGTGTGTGTGTGTGTGTGTGTGTGCAGACGTGCAACCACATGTGTCATTTGTCCCTGTGTGTGTATGAGTGTGTGTGTGCAGTAATAATTACTATTCATCTGTGCTGTGGAGAAATCAGCCTGCTCATTAGTCCTCGCTGACCTCACCCGTTTTAATTTCTCTGCTAAAGTTTTAATTCCAAACTTTCTGATCTCTGGAAACAGAGAGAAGCCCCTCAATGAATTCACCCGAGACTTTCTCCTCTTTTTAAGAATGTAAAGCTGCAGCAGGCAAAAGTAAAAATATTTAAAGCCAAAATCCAAGCGTCTCATCAGATTAAAATCACAAACGAGGGGCTGCGCAGGAGGCGACGGTCCCAAACTCCCTAATTAAGATGCAGCAGATTCATCGGCGCTGCTGTTTGCTGAGGTCGACTTAAAGAGTCATCTGCTGCCGGACTCCTCTCGCCACAAACTGACCTCACTCTCAGAGGATTTACACATAATGGAGTCCAAATTAAAACACTCAGCACTGCCAGTGCACAAAGTTTCTGTGTTTGAGACTTCACAGCATCTGAAGCATGACTCATTAAAATCTCACTAAGATCAGATTTGAGGTCGACTCGAGTCAAACTCAGGTCACGAACTGAGGACTCGAGAACTGACTCGAGTTCCTGAAGACGTCACTGAACACCATCAGGACTCTGAGTATGTGGAGATAACTAATGCAGGTTACTGCTCTGATAATGTTTTTTAGGGAAAGACAGTGTTGTTGGTTTAATATTGAAAATGCTGCATCATCATTCATTTTCTATATTAAGAAACGGGCAACAACTCATGTTGTCAAATGCTGCTAATTTGTCTCGATAAGTCGGTTAATTGCACGGTTAATTAAAAGGGAGACGGTAACTTTTCCGGCCGCGATTAATTGCCGTACTCATGCGCGTTTGTTTTCCTCGTCTCTCTCCGCCAAAGAGTCTGGATGACAAGAGCGTTCACTGCCGTGCATCGTCTGGCAGCCAGGTGAGTTGATTCATTAGTGTAATGAACGGAGGGAAAGCTCTTGTCATCGAGGGGCTGTGGGCTACACACACACACAGTGCGATCTTCACGAGGGAGAGACGAGGCGGAGGAGAAAAAGAGAGTTGAGCATAAGAGAAAGACAAGGAACTTGTTCCTAAACCAAATGCCACGGCCCCTGTGTGGGAGTGTTTTGGATTTAAACCAAATGACAGAGGGCCCAGTAATATGACCAACTTTAACTGCACACCTGAGAGTGAGAGACTGACAGTCTATTTTTTTGTATTTATTTATTTATTTTGATATTTTTACGTGTTATTTCGGATATTTAAATTTTCTTTTTAGCATTCCTAAATGTTCTTGTTAAATAAATGTTTATTTCTCTTTAAAAGGGTGCACTTGCATCATTATGCCTTTATTATCATTATATAAGTTTAAAAAATGGTCCAAAAACACAATATTATCTCTTATCGCAATAATTTCTGACACAATTACTCGCCCATCAAAATTTGTTATCTTGACAGGCCTAGTTTGATTTGCACCAGGTGCGTCGGTTTTAGAGGCAGCGGGCTACAATCCAAGTCGTCAAACATTGGTCTGCAACAGTCTGTAACACTGCCGGAAGCTGCCATGGTATAAAGAGTGAGAAAGTCTGTACAGGGCGGGCGGGAGGGGAGGTGGATGGGTCAAACAAACTCCAGACTTTAACTCAGGAGCTCGCCGTTTGTTTCCTGTGTGAATATAAAGCCAAACCATGATGTCTGTTTAGTAAACTTAACCACCGGCTTTTGTGCCTAAACGTAAGGAAATTAACCCAAAAACAAAGTGTTTTTCTTACATTGTAAGTTTATTTTGACAAAGACTGAGAAAAAACATATTTTGTGAGGTCACACTGACCTTGACCTTTGAACATCGACCACCAAATTCTAATCAGTTTAGTCTTCAGTCCAGGTGGACGTTTGTGTCAAAGTTGAAGAAATTTCCTTAAGGTGTTCTGGAGATATTGCTCACGAGGATGAGACAGATGCAAGGCCACAGTGACTATGACCACCAAAATCTAATCAGTTCATCGTTGAGTCCAAATGAACGTGTGCCAAATTTGACCTCTTGGATATAAAATGTCATCATTTCAATATTTTATCCTGTTTGACATTTGTGTGAAATATTGTCACAGTGAGCAAATGAATTCTTGAGTTATGGCCAACAACATATTTTGTGAGGTCACACTGACCTTTGACTTCAAACCAGCAAATTCTAATCAGCTCATTCTTGAGTCCAAGTGGACGTTTGTGCCCAATTTGCAAAAAAATCCCTCTAGGTGTTCTTGAGATATTGCTGTCACGAGAATGGGACAGACAATCCGAAGCATAATGTCTCCTCCCTCAGCTATTGATGGCGCAGAGGCATTAAAAAGCCTTTCAAAGACAAATATTGATCATCATTAATTTGCTGATCGAGACTTGACACTTTAACTGGACTTAAGTTTGTCCCTGAGGACTGAATCCAGTTCAGTCTGAAGGAACCAGACATGACGTTAGAGACAAAGTCTTCACAGCCCAACTTTATAAAACTTCCTGCCTGTATTTGCATAGTGTTTATCATAACCTGACCTGATTGTAATTAACACGCAGCCATAATGTTGCCGTGTTTATCGTGTCTGATGAGGACGACTGTGAGAATTAAATGTTATAATCTCCATACACAACACATTCCTGTCAGCAGCTCAAGTTTCAGATAAACTTCCTAATGAATGAGCGCCGTGTGTCTGAGCTGAACGTGTGTGAAGTCTAACAGCAGTGGATTTATTCTGAGAGCAGAGAGGCATGATGGGAGTAAGGTCAGTCTTCAGTCTCTACATATTGAAGGACGACATGTCTCTCTTTAAATCAGCTCTTTGATCAATTCCTCATTAATTCACAAAGTTCAGCCGTCAGCTTCAGACACAGCCGCGCAGCGCACCATCCTCTCAAAACAGCTGCCGCAGCGTTTTCATTCTGAATTTTAGAGTGTTACTGAAATCAGTTTGCTCATCGTTACTTTCATGCTGCCGGCTATGATCATTTCTTCTCCTCGAAATCATGAAGATAAGAGTTTTGTTCTTCTTTTCAGGAAGAGGGAGACGTTAAGCAAGAGAACTCTTCACTAAAACCAATCGGATCAAATCATTTAAGGGTTTTTAGCTCTTCAGGTCACATGACCTTCTGACTACACCTGTTCAAAGAAACCGTGTCTCTCCTCCATCAGTCAGATGGACCCATGATCAGGGACAATTTACCCTTTTGTCCAACAGCCAAATGGCGAGGTACTGCCCGAATTTAACCAGCCACATAATAGATTACCATGTTTTTTGGCAGGTGAGTGAAACAAATCCTACATATTTACCAGCAACTGGCTGCTAAATGAATATTTTATCCTGCCCAGTATATAGATTTGTGAACTGGTGCTGGAGATCTTTCTGGGGGGATTTTGATGTACCCAAAACTAAAGAAATTATAGTCTTGGGTTGTGGGGGCAGCAGGCTGAGCAAAATACTCCAGACATCCCTCTCCTCAACAACACTCTCCAGCTCCTCCTGGAGGACCCCGAGGTGTTCCCAGACCAGATGAGATCTATAATCCCTCCAGTGTGTTCTGGGTCTGCCCCGGGGCCTCCTACCAGCTGGACCAGGAGGATCCTGATCAGATGTTGAACCTCAACACGAAGGAGCAGCGGCTCTACTCCGAGCTCCCTCTGGATCGCGGATACAAGCTGCCAAAATAAGTTTCCATCTGAAAGTAATCAACCAAAAAACAAGTCAAGAAGAAAATGTGACTCTCTAATAAGCCTCTCATGCTTTTTGGTTGACAGTGAATGTTTTGGGAGACGAGGAGAGACCAGTGTCTGAAAACTCTGACCGCAGCTGACAGTATGAAACCTGACAAATTAGGAAGACACTTAGCATTATTACATCTTAAGCCTAGTTCACATTACACAATTTTCACCGCGATTTTGACGTCACAGAGGATCTTGAGAGCCACCTTAGGTCAGAGGTGAGTCGGCAGATAGTCTGCCACGACGAGTCCTCATGTGTGAACAAGCCTACGAGCAAGTCGCCCCCTCGTCTGTGACTGGGACTGGATATCTGGCATGCTAGGAAACTGGAGAAGTGTGACACGACTGACAAAGAGCATCAGCCAATGAGAGGCGGAATACGTCCCACGTCAGCACGCAGGAGGGCGGAAGAAATGTGAGGATGATGAGCTGCAGGGTTGCCAGGTCCGCGTATTAGCTGCGACTTTGGGCTTGTTTCTAAACGTCACCTTCCTCTATATATATCCGTCGCTTCTTTTGGGCTTGTTGCCATAGCCCTGGTTACTTGTTTCTCTCCCAAGATCTGGCAACACTGACAAGCCGGCAAGCAACAACGACAATGGCGGCGTCCACAGGATCACGGGGAGCGCGTTGTGTTTGGACCCAGGCCCTGGAGGCAGATCTGAATCAACATCGACTGGGAAGAATATCCATGCCTTTACGATGTGTCGTCTCCAAGTTAAAAAATGTATTTTGGTGACATCATCATGTTATCCGGGGCTCTGTCTGCGAGGGCTCGGTGGAGAAATCTTGTGGTGTGCACACACAGGTCGTAACACAGTTGGCGAGACTCCCTATGCAGAAACACACATCGCCAAGTATGAACACTCAAAAGATTACGATAGTCTCCACGATGGGTGAAAATCGTGTAATGTGAACTAAACTGAGCAAAACAACCACTGAATCCAGGAAGTTCTGGCCGGCTGACGTCAGAATGAAAAAGAAGAACAACAAAACAAAATGAACCGTGGTGGCACATGGCACAGGTCGCACAGGAGATGACGACAGGAAGTAGGTATGACATGTAGAGTTCTTTTGTGCACTCGCATCAGTGCAACATGAAAGAAAAAACTCAGCAGAAACACAAACCTTGGTTTGGACCTTCAGGTGTGAAAAGGCTCTGTGTGTGTTTCTGTGTGAGGCCTTGAAACTACCCGTTGAGGGACGATTGAAGCATTTTCAATTGAGCTGAAATTAGAATTGACCGTTTACTGAACCCTACCCAGAAGAGTGATCGTCTGATCACGGCTTAGCAAACTCAGTAAGCTTTAGCCTTCTCCACATGCTGAAGAGGCGTTCATGGGACTATAGTAAAAGAGATGCTCTGTATATTAAGAGTCTGGATGAGGCACAGGAGCTGAAGTATCTGAAACAGATCGAACAGCTCTGAGTGAGCTGCAAACATCCACAGCCAACACGGTCAATAATGACAAACAGTGTTGTTGTTGTTGCTCATATGTGATTCACTGTATCGAGGCGTCATCAGCAGTTTCTGTGCGAGACAATATTTCACTTTATAAGCTGAATCAGCCTGAAACCTTCAGAGCTGCGGTCAGGAACAACCGTCAGCACAAACAGAACTGATTCTATACAATAAACACCTGAGTCACATCCACACTGTGTAAATGAAAATGTCACTGAGCATCAGACAGACTGTCACTGCTCTGAGACTCCTCTGAGGGGCCCTGAGGGGGCCACGCACCAGAGGGTAAGAACCTGAGCTCAGAAGGAAAAGGACTTGGCACCCTGGGTGTGTTGGTTGTTGACGTTCTGGGACGCCGTGTCAACTTCAGCCTGTTACATGCATTGTCTGTTTTCAAAATACACTTCTGTTTTCACAGGAAATGTACAGTTTGCATACAGTCTCTTTCAAAATAAAAGCACTACGTGAGTACAACACCACCAACTGATGTTTTTTTCCTTCACCAACACACACGTGGTTACGTTTAGGAAAAAAGAACAGGGTTTGGTTTTACAATCTTACAGGAAGTGAACACTGGCCTCCTGGGTGAAAGTCCGTGGTTGTTGGACCCATCCACCCCCCCTCCCACCAGCTCAACAGGAAGTGGATTGAGCTCAGAGAGAAATCCTACGTGTTCCTTGTCTCCTACCTGCTGAGTCTTCTTGCAGCTGAGGTTTGGCGGGTTGAAGGCCTTGATCTGAACACACTGCTGATTGGGCGACCACAGCCAGGTGTTCTCCTCCCTCCACCTGCTGCACTCCGTCTTCCTGGTGCACCTGTGAGTCGAGAAGATGGCGATCACATCTAACTTCACCAGTGATGGAAAGCAACCAAGTACATTTACTCAACCGCTGTACTACAGAACAAATATGAGGTACTTCTGCTTTACTGGAATATTTCTATTCGCTGCTACTTTTCATGTTACGTTTTATTTTCTACTGCAGTTCATTAATCAAAATTCACATACAAACAAGTGAACTGAAAGTTTATTAAAAACCTTCACAGACACTTCAGAGTGACTCACTTTCCCTCCAGGACACACCAGCCACAGTACGGGTCCTTCATAGAGACGCAGGAGTGGCAGTCTGTCTTCTGGTGGCAGGCCTGGACTGGAACCTTCGTGATCTGCAAACACATGACAGGCTTTTATTGTGAAGGAGCTCTTATTGTGAAAAACAGGCAGGACAAAACAGAAGACAAAAATCCATTGCTTTAAAACTGATGACGCAAAAGAATCTTTTTTTATCAGTTTTGTGAGAAATTGAATTTTTGTTTCTGTTGATCTCATGGATGGAAACACGCTAACATCAAAATATACAGTGAGTGTCAAATCACATATTCTGTACTAAACCCTTCATATTTTAAGTGCGCAAGTGCGTTCACACTGCATAGTACGAGAAAATGCAGCATCCTACTGGTGCACTCAAAATGATCTGAAAGCTGAGTGTGGAATGACAGATACTTCCCAACGGCCGCCATCTTTGTGACAAACTTCACCACCTTTGACATGGCGGCTGGAGACAACAAGGAGCCTGTTGGTTCTACATGTGTTTGCACTAAGACCCAAAACTGTTGTCGAATAGAAGCCGTCAGTGATGTTTGTTGGGTTTGTAATGATTTGGCTCCACAAACAATAATGCGAATGTTAACGTTAGCTTGCTAGCTAACTTGCTCCTAGCTATAGCAGCAGATTGAATCTTTTTTCATACGTAAAGGAAGTATAGACGAGCTGTAAGTCACACTGAGTGGTATCAACGTGTGTTTCATGTTCACATTTCACTGAGAGAGCAGTTTCTGGCTCAGAGCGAGGGCTCAGCTGGACACAGAGGACACTCAGGAGTTAAACGTGATCACTCCTGTTTTTTTAAGAAAGAACGCCTGCAGAGAAACAAGGGGATAAATCTGGGGTCCATCTGAGACATGTGTTTTGTGTTTGACTGTCACAGCTGTCAGTTGTGATGCTTCGACGATGAATCACAGTTACACCCAAGATATGTGATACATCTCAGTGCTGCATGCAAACAGGTCGTAAACCCCGACAGTGTTATTTCCAAACTGACTCTGTGACATGGAACATAAATAAATCCATCACCTCAGGGGAAACTGGACTCTGTTCTCCATGTGTCTGTGTCTCAGTGTCTGGTGGGAACAACAGAGAGGCTGCAGCAGTGAGACAGGCTGTACTGTAACCACTCTGTTCACACCGTCAGTGTCCACTCACAGTGTTTGTTTTTGTCACTGACAGACTCAGAATGTTATGCTAAGTGTCTGACAACATTATGAAAGGATCTCTACAGAGATAGAGCAGTCATTTTCTAAAGTTAAACAGGGACAAAACTGGAATCCTGCTTGTTGGTCCTGCAACAAAAACAGAAATGCTGCTTAATAATCTGAGGAATTTAACCCCCTGGATTAAATCTGAGGTGACAAGTCTTGGTGTGATCCTTGAGTCAGATCTAAGCTTCAAGTCCCACATTAACAAGGTGACGACAACATCGTTTTCCCACCTCAGAAACACAGTACAACAATTTCTAAATCACAAGGATGCTGAAGAACTAATTCCTGCCTTTATTTCAGGCCGACTCGACAACTGTCACATATTTTTTTACTGAGATGAGGTAAGATGAGATAATATAAGACAAGATGAGATGAGACGAGACAAGATGAGATGAAATGAGATGAAGTAAGACAAAATAAGATGGAATGAGATGAGATGAGACGAGACAAGATGGGATGAAATAAGATAAGATGAAATGAGATGAGGTAAGACAAAATAAGATGGAATGAGATGAGATGAGACGAGACAAGATGAGGTAAGACAAAATAAGATGGAATGAGATGAGATGGAAATAAGATGAGATGAAATGAGATGAGGTAAGACAAAATAAGATGGAATGAGATGAGATGAGACGAGATTAGACAAAATAAGATGGAACGATATGAGACGAGATGAGATGAAATAAGTTAGAATGAGATGAGGTGAGACAAAATAAAATGGAATGAGATGAGATGAGACAAGAAGAGACGCAATAAGATGAGATGAAGTAAGGCAAAATAAGATAGAATGAGATGAGACGAGATTAAATAAAATGAGATCAGATGAAGTAAGACAAAATAAGATGGGATAAGATGAGACGAGATTAAATAAAATGAGATCAGATGAAGTAAGACAAAATAAGATGGGATAAGATGAGACGAGATAAGATGAAATAAGATTAGATGAGATGAAGTAAGACAACATAAGATGGAATGAGATGAGACGAGATGAGATGAAATAAGATGAGGTAAGACAAAATAAGATGGAATGATATGAGACAAGACAAGATGAGATGAAATAAGATGAGATGAGGTAAAACAAAATAAGATGGAATGAGATGAGACAAGATGAAATAAGATTAGATGAGGTAAGACAAAACAAGATAGGATGAGATGAGATGAGATGACATGAAATAAGATGGGTTGAGATGAGACGAGATGAAATAAGATGAGATTAGATGAAGTAACACAAAATAGGATGGGATGAGATGATATGAGACGAGGTAAGACAAAATAAGATAAGATGAGATGAGATGAGACGAGGCAAGATGAGATGTAATAAGATCAGATGAGGTAGGACAAAATAAGACGGAATTAGATGATATGAGATGAGATGAAATAAGATGGGGTAAGACAAAATAAGATGGGACGAGATGAGACAAGACGAGATGAAATAAGATGAGATGAAGTAAGACAAAATAAGATGGAATGCAATGAGACGAGACGAGATGATATGAAATAAGATGGGATGAGATGAGACGAGATGAAATAAGATGAGATTAGATGAAGTAAGACAAAATAGGATGGGATGAGATGATATGAGACGAGGCAAGACAAAATAAGATAAGATGAGATGAGACGAGGCAAGATGAGATGAAATAAGATCAGACGAGGTAGGACAAAATAAGACGGAATTAGATGATACGAGATGAGATGAAATAAGATGGGGTAAGACAAAATAAGATGGGACGAGATGAGACAAGATGAGATGAAATAAGATGAGATGAAGTAAGACAAAATAAGATGGAATGAGATGATACGAAACGAGATGCTATGAAATAAGATGGGGTGAGACAAAATAAGATGAGACAAGATGAGATGAAATGAGATGAGATGAAGTAAGACAAAATACGATGGAATTAGATGAGACGAGATGATATGAAATAAGATGGGGTGAGACAAAATAAGATGGAATGAGATGATACGAGACGAGATGATATGAAATAAGATGGGGTGAGACAAAATAAGATGGGATGAGATGAGACAAGACGAGATGAAATAAGATAAGATGAGGCGAGGCAAGACAAAATAAGATGGGACGAGACGAGACAAGATAAGTTAGTCATTTTAGTAACAGTCATGTCAGTGTGTATAGAGGCAACATTACAGCCTGTCTCACTGCTGCAGCCTCTCTGTTGTTCCCGTCAGACACTGAGACACAGACACATGGAGAACAGAGTCCAGATTAGAACATACCACAGTTCCCCTTCACTAGCAGCCTACTTGTGATCTGACTTTAATATTCTCTTGTAAAGAGAAGGTATCGGACGGATGGTGTTTAAGTAGAGACCGTCTTCAGACCAGCTGTGGAAATAATTTAGCTGCCTAACAACGAGAAGAGGCCGCTCTAATACATTTAGATGAGCAGATGGAACAAGCTGGAGTATCGTCACTTGACTTGATGAAAGTGAATTGCCCTCTTGAAGTGCATTCTAATTAATTCATTTCTAAATCAATAACATCCATTTCACTTTCGGTGTGGCGGCGGAGAATGATGGCGAGCGAAAGATGAAAGGACAAAGGAGACAGATGAAGAGAAAAGGCAGAGGGGAAAACAAAGAGACAATGAGTGAATAAATCAATGGCTGACTGCTGTGTGCTAATGTAGACGGATGTATTGGTGTTAGTAGAACGAATGAATAGATGATCAAATAAGACAGACAGAATAAATGAAAGACTCATTAAGTCTCTCGGCCTGATGGATGAAACCAGAAAGCAGAAGTAAGCACATGACGGAGCTCCTGACCTTCTTCGTGTGGCGACACAGATGTGCTAGACGGATGGAGGAGGAGAGAAATGGAAACGAATAATCAATCCGTCCAAAGTGTGAGTGACTCTGACCTTTTTCTCCGTGGTGATGTACAGGTGTTGGAGTCTGGAATCGAACAGCAGGTTCTTGTTGACCTTGTCTCCAGTGACGTCGCCCGGCGCTCGCCCGTACACCTCAGGGTTAGCCGACAGGTGAACCTTTAGCACCTGCAGGGAACACGGAAACTGCATTAACACATTTTAAAATGAATAAATGTTGGGTGAAGATGACTGAAGAGACGAGACAGAGACATTTTTATTTATCATTATTTAACCTCTCTAACTCCGCCAGGACGCCGACGTCCTCGCTCCCCCCCTCCTCTGTTAAATGGTATCTCCCAGGCGCACTACATCATCAAACCATGTGATGTTTGGTATTGCTGGATTCAGGAAGCTCTCAACTTTTCAAAAATAACATTGTTTTTCTTTTATTTATTATGTATTTCGCACCAGAGCAGCCTAAACATACAAAGTCCAAAATCGCGATGAGTGGTGACAAGTCATGTCATGCCGTTTTTCGACGGGAAAAGTTAAAGGATTACTCGCGATCTTATGTGGAGCTGTTAGCGGGGACTTAGCTGGTTTATAAAAGGTAAGAGTCTCACTCCTACCACTATTTTTGGCTGAGATATACCGTCTAGAAAGTGGGATCATAACTTTCACGTTTCATATGGCTTTATTTGGTGATATTTTATGGTGTTTCTGTGTCATAAACAACATCAGCTATCATAATCACACCTGATTTCAATAAGGTACAATATTTGAAGCTGGCTGAGTGTTGTTTGATCACTGATAGGACTGTTTTGAAGCCGAGTGACCCACTTGTCATTTGGAGCTCCGCCTGGATCTTTTCATGGTAAAAACACTGTAGAATGGTCATACTTTGAGCAGTCTTCTTCAAATTTGAAACAAGTGTTCATTGATAGTGTGCCTACAGCCCCACAGTGTCATTTACCTGCTCAGATGAAGCCACAGACAGTTATTCATCCTGAAACACATTTTTTATTTTATTTTAGGCAAAATCTTCAACTTTTTACTGACTTCAGAGGCCCATTACTCTGTCTCTGTATCACCTAGAGTGTTTCTGACACTTTCACAAGAAACTTCAGGGAGTTTTCTTTCTGGCAAGACCTCATGCATGCATGTAGTCAGAGCGGTTCAGAAGCTACAGTCATTTTAATTTGGGTATGTCATTTTAGGTGTTTTTGCTACAAAATGGGGGTGGAGTTTAAATCCATGTAGGGAAGATTCTCTTCGTCTTTTTGGGATTTTTTTTCCTTTAATCGATATTAAGCGGTATTAGGTGTGTAAGGTGGCAAAAAGAGAGGGGACGGCATGCAGCAAAGGGCCACAGGCTGGAATCAATCAATCGTTACCTCTCCGGTGGCGGTGCCCAGGAACGCCACAGCGTGCCCCATTTCCACAGCAACAGCCACAGCAGTCATGTGACCCTTACGGGCCAACTGGGGCTCAGACGTTAAGGCGAACTCGGCCTTGCTGGCCAGCGGCGAGGGCAGGAACTCTGCTCCACATTTGTATCTCCTCGCCATGTCCTTCTGATGGAGAAGAGTAGAAATCACATTTGTATGAGTTATTTTCTCATTGTTTCAGTCTTTATCTCCCTCACACACACACACACACACACACACACACACACCTGATTACTGCTGCTGCACAGCTCCTCAGACTTGGAGGAGTAAGGCGAGTAGACGGCAGCCTTCTCGTTAATGATGCCGTTGTGGCTGTAGCAGGCTCCTATTATCTCCACCAGCCTCTTATTGATGGACTGAAGAGGGTACATGCCTGCAGAGAGGAGCACAAACACTGTTTGAACACATTTCCTTCACTTTCTTCTGATAATAAATAACACATCTAACTCCAAACCAAACAGTAACACGTCAAAAATCACAAATCACAACACCAGTTCTGCAAAATCCTCATTATTTAGTGTTTTATTTGGATCTGTTGGGACCACCTACAAGTTCAGGTTCAAGTTTACTGTCAGATATGTTAAAGAAAGTACAGCGAACATTCAGTGTAGTGAAAAACTTTTTACCCCGTCTCTCTCTCTCTCAGCCCATAAAACCTGGAAATAACACAAGAAATAAAAATACATTTCCTAAAACCTGGGAAATTAGGAGTTTGTATCAGAACAATAATGCAAAGTTTTAAAAGACACACACATTTATGACCTCTGCCTTCGTCACTATGTTGACCATAATGCTGCAGCACTATGGCACTACTACCGTACCACAGGTGGAGCGTCATCAGATTCTGCACAAAACTTAAAACTACTTCCGAACTTACTGTCAAACTCGCCACGCCTAAAAGAATATTGAAACCAATGAAAATGGGCAATAATGAAAGCCCTTTGGACTTATCCAAATATGTTATGCAGTGACGACAAACTGAACTCTGTAAAAAGAAAGATGAAAATACAGATTTATTCCAAAATGTCTCTCCTTTTAGTTTTAAAAACAGCAGCACATCAGTATACTGATCACCCTGTTGAGGTGAAGACGGCTGTATTGACAGATGAGTCTGGTTGAGTTGAATCATTTCAAGACAAGTTTTGCTGATTTTCAACCGGCTCTGTGTCATCACAGTGTGTGCAGATAAATGCCGTCTGACTTCCCCACATACTGCGAGCACCTGGAACTTCCCGCTCATTTGCATTTCATGTCACTTGGCTGACTTTTGCAGGCGGATGATCAGAGAGCTCCCAACGTTCGCAGCACAGGCGGAAACCAAACGACACAGAGCTGGTTGAAGAAAAGCAAAGTTTCCCTTTTATTTAATCTACAGCCCCTTTTACACTGCCAGATTTTCGGCGAATGTTGGGCCGTTTTGCTGGCAAGCTGCGAGCGTTTAGACACACAGAGCCGGATTGGCGAGTTGATCCGAGGTGCCCAATTTTCCTCCTCGTAGGGTAGACATATTGGTGGAACCCTTTTAGTTTAAACAGACCAAGGCGGCCTTCTGCAACGGGAGGGGCTGTTGATGACTTGTGGGAGGAGCTGTTGATGACTTGTGGGAGGAGCTGTTGATGACTTGTGGGAGGAGCTGTTGATGACTTGTGGGAGGAGCTGTTGATGACGCCGCACGTGCGAGTCACTGGCAGTGGATAAACAGGAAACAGCTGATAGCAGGAATTAGCGAGCAGCTAGTAGCAAGAGGGAAACACAAACCTGACAGACACTGTAAAGATGAGCAACTGGGGAGACAAGGAATTGCGCGCCCTCCTTGTCCTCGCAAACGAAGAGGCCATTAACCGTCAGATGACGGGGACGGTGAAGGACGGGCCGACTTACGAGAGAATCACCGAAGGACTGTCCAGCCGCGGCTTCCCTCCCACGTCACTGTTTACGTCACACGCTGAGCTACACGTTTTGTTACTTGCTCATGCCCCCCATTGCCCCGAAAAAGGCACATTCTGTATAAACAAAAGTAGGTAGGCGGCATTTTGCTGCACTCCCCGATTTTGTTTTTATACTGCCAATGCTGAAAAAAGACTGATTGGGCTTTCCTGTAAATTTGCACAACTCCTGTTTAAAAAGGGCTAAATTTTCTCAACTATGCAGAAATGTTTGTAATGGGCATAAAAAAATCTGTCGATACAACCATTTCCACCTCAACAGGGAGCTAAGAATACAGACTTTTTACCATTTTTTTTAGAAAGAATCTAAATGACGAGAAGTGTTGGATGATGTGTACTTTCTTATAGATTTCATCCAGTTTTTTACCAAATATTATATGTGGATGAGTCCAAAAAGGGTTACAGTTTCATTGATCGTCAAATTCCTACAGGCAGGGCCAACTTGACAATAAGTCACTGACCTTGAATAAAAGGAAATCTGAAACTTCCACATTCCTAAACATCTGGGAGAACTCCAGTTTGGCTCTAAGTTGTTCTGGAGTTTTCCTTCATGTTTGCTCAGGTGTTATTACCAACTCTGTTCTGACTGCCTGGAGCTCGTTCTTTAGATAGTAAAGTCTTCAGCAAGTTTTTCAGTTACGCCAGCAGAAATGTTCTCTTTTAAACTCAAAGGATCTGGGACTTTAGATCATCTGTACCCATTTCTTCTTAATCCGTACAGGGACGGGTCGGCACACGGTCGTGTACTTCTGAAGATTAGTTGCCATTACAGAGTAAAAAACGCACTTCAGTATCGTAGGAAGCATGTGGGCAATGAATGAACTTGTTTGTAGATCAGCGCTGCTTCAATTTTATTTTAAAAAGGTAGAAGCTGGGAAGGAGCTCAGCAAAATATATCTTACTCCATTATTCGCTCTCTAGCGCCCCCTGCCCAGGTGTTATTGGACTGTAGATGCTTCAATTTCCTTTTTGTTCTGAGCACTTAAAGGACTTCTCATCCATGTTGGTTAAAGGTTAAAGGTCAACCAGGCACTTTTGACCTTCACTCCATCTCTTAATGAAGATCATGTGATGTGATCAAAAGCTCCAGAACAGCTGCAATTACTGTGAGTAAAGCTTGTGGTGAGTTTGTTTTATCAGCTGCTGTTTTCAACATTTAAACATCCAATTTCTAAACAGATTTGTGTTGAACAATCTGGAAAACTTATATCTTAGAGTCACATGGTCCAGAGTGTTTTATAAATAAACACATAGTGGTGATAGTGCGTCTAAATCTGCATCCAAAGCTCATCCTCTTCTCTTTGTCTCATGTCCAAACGTTCTGCCAAATTTCACTGAAATGTTTTGATGTGTTTTTGGACATTCTGCCACCAACCAACATCTGCCAACGTAAACTATCAGGAACATCTGCCAACATAAACTATCAGGAACATCTGCCAACATAAGACATCAGGAACATCTGGCAGCATGAAGACAACACCTACACATGGCTGAAGTAGACGGGTCTTCATCAGAAGTGAAGGTGACAAACAGAACCTTGTCAGAGGCTGATACGGCTCCATACTGTCCTAATCTGGTCATCGTCTCAGCCAGAACTTCACCTGGTGTTCCTACATAAGCAGCCTGGGAGGCGATGAGGAGGAGATAAGAAGCTGAATGTTAGATATCTACAGTAAAAAGATGTATTTAGCAGATATACCTGAGGAACAGTGAAAGTGGAGATCCCACAAACTGAAGCTTTTTCAGGTTCAGGAACATTTTAAATCCAATTTCTGAAGTTTTTCAGGGGTCAGGGCCGAGGCATTTGTAAAAAGCCTTCAATTTAAGACAAACTCAGCCAAACGTAAAATGTGTTTTTCTGAGTCACTGCTGCCCTTTTAATAAAAACGCTGACAGCCTATCCGGCGGCTGCAGACAGCATCATCATTACCTGAGCTTTGTTGTACTTGTTGCTGGCGCTGCAGTTGAGCTGCAGCTCAGTGTACGAGTAATAGCCCTGATCGTCCTCGCACATCCTGGAGATGAAGGTGAAGTTCTTGGTGTCCTGAACCCCGAGCGTCCGAGAGAACAGGAAGTAGACGAAGCCGCCGTCCTTGAAGGAGAAGCGGAAGTCGTGGAGGTAGCGCAGGACGAAGGGGTTGGCCTGCACCGCCGACGCCTCGATGATGCTGTCGAAAACCACCCAGTCACCGTAGTCCTGGAGGATGCGGGTGGAGATGAGCTTGGTGCTGTCGTGGCTGCCGTAACCTTTACCGACCTGAGACACAAGAGACAATAAACTCAGTGGGAAACGTCTTTTGACCTTTACAGTTGGTCCAAACTTTGAATATTTAACTGTTTCACTATCAAACATCTCCAGTGCCCTGCTGCTCCCCAAATCAGGTGTTTGTTTTTATATCTGTTTGTCTTCATGTGTTAAATCCCAGTTATGGACTTGAGACTGGAGACGTGGACCTGTGAAAGACTTAACATACAAATTGAGACGAGACGAGCTTTTGACTTCTCTGATCTGCGACCTCCCCCCAAAACCCATAATAGTTTTGTGATGAAACATATATATGGAATTAAAAACGTATAATATTTAGCTGACTAACTTGTACATATACCCAAACTTAACAATAATATCATATGATTCATTTACCCAGTAATGTCCCCTTGACCTTTGCTGCCAGCTGTGTGATTTGATTGGTTGGTTCGTGTCATTGCAAGTGTGTCCATAACGTGCCTGTATGTGTTAACGTCAACATTAGCAGTTAGCAGTTGCTGGTCTGTTGTTCAAATCGATTCTGTAAAATACAATAAGTTCCAGTGTGCTAAAGCTAATTAGCAGAGCTGAATATGGATCACTTTACTTTTGTTATTGGAAAGAAAAAGAAGGAGAGTTGAAGACGTCGGGGGTGATGGGTAATTCAGCTTCCAGACCTAAAGATAACCCGTTCATTAGAGACCTGACTTTCTGGCAACTTGACTTCCTGAAAGTTTCATTTGACTCGAGACTTGTGAGCAAAAATACTATGACTCGAATAAAACTTTGGACACATGAGCCCATGGTTCAAGACGGGAATGTGGCGTCGTTCTTCCGCCTTGCTCTTCTTTATAAAAGGTACAAACCTGGAATGGGGGGACAGAGTTGTCTCACCTTTAATGGCCTGACGTCTGTGTCAAAGGGACAGCAGCAGGACGGGTGTGACATTTTGACAACATGTTATGTGTACGACCCACCACGGGACACTTAAAAGCAGCAGTTAGCCGTTAGCAGCTAACTCAAAGAAGACCAGCAGCTGTAAATGTCCTCAAACAGTGAAAAAAGTGAGGTCCAGGAGCACCTTACCCTCCGAGCAGAGGACGAGATCAGCCGCCATATAACAGGGACGGTAAATGATTGTTATTGACGTGATGTCATTGTTATTGTTTATAAAGAGCTGCTGACACGTATGTTATATGTCACACTGGAGGCCGACATGAGTAGCTATTGTTCTGTGTGTAATAGGGACTACTGTGAGTGTAGGGATTACATTCTAAGTCAATGTAAACATGTGAATAGCCGCAGATTGTGCCAGGTGAAAAAAATAACTCAACACAAATGACACAAACACACAAAATATTTCAAGTTGCAGCAGAAATTCTTGTGACGCTGTGTTCCTGTCAGATCTAGTTGAGATTCTCCTGACGTTACTGAGAATCAGAAATTGAGGACAAACTTACTGTCAGTGTTGTACTACACAGGTTTCGTGAAGGGACATTAGAAGTTCTTGGTTTAAGTTGCGCAACAGTCAACACTCAGAGCTAATCTTGACTCACAGTTGCTCTCGATGACTGGAGGAGCTGCATTATTAATATCCTTATGTTAACAATGGGATTAAGGGAGGAGATTGTGGAGAAAGTGGAGCACTGAGCAGCTAAAGAGCTAGACATGTTTCAGAGGACAGAGCTAAAAGAAGAGTAAATATTGGACTTTGAACTGCAGATCATTTTAGCCTATAACCTGCTGAAGGTACCTCAAGGACCCTGACTGTGAGAACCACGGCCGTCTCGTATGACCGTGACAGAGAGCTGCAGGGAGGTAAACCTTCACATGTCGAACACACTCGGGGTAAAATCAGAAGTGATTTTATCAGAAGCAGCATCAAAAGCTCTTCCACGGCTGCTTTGATTTAAGGAGAGGAGACATGAGATCATAAAGCATCTTGTAAAGACTCCACTGATACTGTGTGAAGAAATAAAATCACTGACAGAAGCGCTCATTTCCCTCATGGCTGCCAATTTCATTCCTCCCTTCTCGACAAATTGCAGTTTAATTGTGTTTGTTGGCACAATATCACAGATGGAGGCGATCATTTATATTCACTGTTTTTATTTACCTCAGCGCTGATGGGAATAACACGGGTAATATACTGTGTGTTTAACTGCTCACCAGGAAGACGGTGAAGTTGTCTCTGTCCTTGGTGAAGTAGGACATCACTCCCACCACGGAGACGCTCTCCTCGGCGCTCGCCACATACGACTTCTCTCCCTTGGTGTCGCTGAAGTAGAGCAGCTGCTCCACGTTGCTGAGGTTCCTCAGGGAGCAGATTCCTCTGTAGACGCTGCCGCACACCACCAGGACGTCCTTGGCCTCGTGGACCAGCAGCAGCTTGTTGTGGTTGTCGGTGTCCATGGCCTCCTCGCAGGCGTCAGTGACGGGCGGCGTGCACAGCCGGTTGTCCCGTTTGGGGCCCGTCTCTGTGCGGGACTCCACCTCAAGGTCGTGGTTCAGCTGGTGGAGGGAGTTGACGGCACCGACGTACAGCCGGCCTGTATGAGGGTCGGTCACCACGTTGTTGATGAGGGTGTCGGAGAGGAACTCTGTTTCTTTACCATCGGAGGGGATGAGGCAAATGGTTGCCAGGGCGACCAGGGCAAACTGCCACACCCACCACCGCTCCATCACGTCTGGGGGAAAGACAGAAGAGAAAGAAACGTTTTCAGCATCAAACAGAGAAAAGAACAAGCAGGGCTTCAATTATATTTTATATTCTATCCATCTTGATTATTTTAGTTTTTAGTTTTCAGTGCTCGTCACAGTTTCCCAGAGCCAAAAGCAAGAAAGCAAAAACCAAAGCCATAAAAACAACAACAACAACAACAACAACAACAACAACAAAAAGTTATCCAATAGAGTGAGCTCCTTCCAGTGTTATTGGGCCTTCATTTGAAATACCTGCAGGCTACACTGAGAAATAAATACCTGCAGACACTACTGAATCCATATTTTCATTTAGAAGTTCATATCAACCATGAAAGAAGCTAGAATTAAAGGAACACTTCACCCCCTTATGAACTTTTGGACATCAGTTACTAACTCTGGGTTATGTTGAAATTGTGAAAAAACACTGGTTTTCTCTCAGGCCTCTGCAGTGAACTCTGAAACAGGGAAAATTCTTGATGAATTAAAATCATAGGGGTCCACGTTTAACAACAGCAAAACTATATCAAAACATCTGTTTACAAACTCTCACAAACTCCTGCAGTTTAATCCAACTCTCACTTATCCAGTCGGATCATCAATCAGCCTCCATTAGGTGGAGTTGTGTTGCTACCTCCTCTCCCCTTGGATCTCTGCAAGTGATGTGAGGACTCTAAAACTTCACCTGAGCCTCCCTCGCCATATGGGTGAGTAGATAATGGCTGAATTTACATTTTTGGGTGCACTATCCCTTTAAGTTGTCGCCTGGTTGCGTTCCCCCTATCTCCGCCAGGCGCCATTACAGAATAAAGACAACTGTCCACGCATCATGCTGATGTGAAATGATGTTGGTGTCTGATGCTGGAAGTCACTGAACAAGCGCTGGTATTTGACAATTTTGGAGTGAGTGTAGCTTGGCCTGATAGCAGTAACGGAGGATAATGTCGACCCTGCTGAAACACAGATCGGCTCTAATTTATGACAAAAGTACAGAAAAACTGGACTAAATCCTAAAAATTTATGGTGAAACCAGCATTTGTAATATTATTGGCTTGATAAATGACTGAATAGATTAACTGATCAAAACCATCAATTCATTTTCAGCTGATCAAACAAACCATTGATGCACTACAGTTCAAAGTTCTGCAATAGTTAACATTTCTTAACACTGTCAGAGCTAAAACTGTCAGTCAGGTTGCAGCTCTTCTGATAATCAAGTCATTAATTGAGCAGAAACGTTGAACATTGTTGCTTCATTCTGTTTGACATGATTGTAAACTGAATATCTTTGGACTGTTGGTCAAAACAAGACATCATGTTGTGATGGACTTTTGTCTTTCAAGATTTTTTTTCCAGGCACCTTCCCTGATGACTCACAGCAAAGGGCCACAGGTCTGAATGGAGGCCTCAGCATACACGGGGCCCACACCCTACCAAGTGAGCTGGAGGTCGCCCCAACCATTTGTCATTTTCTGAGACAATATGTCGTCTAAACAATAAAACATTCAGTCAGGAATCGTGAGCTCCGCAGTCCTAAACTGTTCAGAGAACACCGTCTCTGACAAACAGTCCTGACTATAAACCCAGTGAACCTGAATTCAGAGTCAGAGACACAGTTGGCGCTCATCCTCTAAACAAAGCAGAATTTAAACAGCGCTCATGACTCTGTACTGCAGGGCTCAGCACCGACAGCAGCACCAACTCAAGGAGAAACGAACGAACCGATGCTGAGAGCAAAGAGAGGCAGTAATGAGGAGCTTCTCATTAAACCCAGAACATCCTTTACTGGAGGAGAACCAGAGATGAGGAGGAGGAGGAGGCAGCGGCCTAAAAAGTGAAGAGAGTTGCTGAGCCAGATTAGATTAGCAAAGACAAAAGAAGAAAGTGTGTGTGTGTGTGTGTGTGTGTGTGTGTGTGTGTGTGCGTGTGTGTGTGTGTGTGTGTGCGTGTGTGTGCGTGTGTGTGTGTGTGTGTGTGTGTGTGTGTGTGTGTGGAGGGAGACTGAGTGTAGCAATTAGTTTGGTGACATAGTGAGTTTCTCCTTCCATTAGTCTGGATGGGAGTGTTTAATTATAGCTGCAGCCTGCGGCTGTAAAACACGACCACAGTGTTCACACTAACGCCACCGCACAAACACTCGTGGTCAAAGTATCAGCTCATTTTTGGCTGATTCACATCAACTTTACCTCCTAAATCTGCCTAAGCGCGTCATAAACCTGCCTGTAATCACCGCAGCGTGGTCTCTGCCGTCTGTCCCACAAATCAAACCTCTTAGAGTCGTGTCTCGTTCGTTTATTCGCAGGCATTTTAACTGGCCAATCATTGGTTTTACAGCAGCGGCGTCTATCAGATCATTCTGATTGGTGGTCAATCGACTGGAGCTTCCCCCCCCCCCCCCCCGCCCCGTTTTACAGCAGCGGCGTCTATCAGATCATTCTGATTGGTGGTCAATCGACTGGAGCTTC